TGTTTGTTGGTGCTTTTTGCTTTCCGTTGATTAGCATGCATATGTATGTGTGCTGAAGATATCGCACTGGCTGCCAACCGTCGACGACTTTGCGTTACGAAACCACATATAAAAACTTTTATTTGAAATTTATTTAAGTTTTGCCTCCGCTGCGCCACTTCTAAAGTGCTTTATTTATTTATTTATTTTCGTCTTTTCTTGAACATAAAAGAGGCTTAATTATTATTTAAATCGAATAGAGCCAAGCGATTAACAAAGACCAGTTAGCAACGGGCAGCATTTTAGGGGATTTTTTAGGCCAAAGATTTATTCTGACTTTTGACTCTACTAAACGTTAAGACGGTAGGTTGAGCAATCATGTACAAGGTTGTATTGGACTTAAATGTAAAATATTTTCCGTGCAAGGTTGTGGTTATCAATATTATATGTAATTCCAACTAAATAATTGAAAGATTTCGGCTTTTATTTTTATGCCCATTACTCGTAGAGTAATTCGTTGAAAAGTATGTAAGAGGCAGACGGGATCATTTCCGACTCTATAAAGTATATATTCTTGACCAGGATAACTATCCGAGGCCGTCCTCGTGATTTCAGGAACAATAAAATCTAGAAAGTTGAGATTAGTATGCAGATTCCAGAGGCAAAAATATTGGCCACGCCCACTTAAACGCTCCCAAAACCCAAAAAACAGCCACTGTTTTGCCATTTTCTATTGATATGCCAAATAAAAATTGGGAAATTTTTCGTTCGCAATCAATCTAGCTGAGTAACAGGAATCTGATAGTCGAGGAACTCGACTATAGCGTTCTGTTTTGTTTTGTTTCGTTTCCTTTTTGTATGCATTTGGAAAATCTAGTTCATTTCATATCCATTATTCCCTCTTCTAGCAGGCCCATATTTTTGTAGTACTCATTTTCTGGTGACACCCTAGACTAATTCCAATATTAACTGAAAACGTGTTACCGCCAAAGGCAGCGTAAAAACCCAATGAAAACGTGTGCCGGTGGTTTTTTTTCTTAATTCCCTCTTCGTGTGTGTTTTTCTGATTAAATTTAAATTGCTTTTTATTGTCGAGTTCATTTGTTTCGTGGCTGTTTCTTGCCTGGCTGATCGGTCTCAAAAACCAGATTCTACGGCAGAGGCAGCAGGCTCATTAATACAGGCTTCGTAGAAAACACACTTCAAAGTGGTTTGGTTTCTTGTGTTGTTTGAATCCAATTTCAAACAGCTGGCTAAAAGCTTTCTTTATCCATCGACTTGGTGTGTTTGCCTTTTTTTTTTTGTTTTTTTTCTTCCAAGATAATGTTGTCACGTAAATAAGCTCTCTAATAAGCTCCCTAATCTAATCGCGGAGCTCCCTATGTCGGGCGTATGTTGAAATTTCAATTTATGCCAATTCACGGTCAATGCTTTTCCGATCCACTCGTAACTCTTCAAATACTATATCAGCAGTATTGAAAGCTTTACGCATTTCCGTTTCACTTTTGAGCTATAAAAAAGCAAATCAGAATTATGCAATGATCGGTCGTTGAACGAACAGTATCGATTCTTCAGCAGCTCCTTTTTGTATTTGTCATTCTGAATGTGAATTTGGACGGGGCTTTAAGTTCAATGTACGAACTGTTTTATATATGCCTTATACAGCTTATTTTCGATATATCTTTTGTAGCTGCTGTTGATTATATAAAGCAGAGAGTTCAGTGCCTTTAGATAAGCTTAGGACGAATTGTGTGCATCATAGCTTATTAGTATTAGTATTTCAGAAATGGAACTTAAGTGCACTCTTGAAACGGGCTTCGTATTTCCCACATGAAAAGTAATTGCTTTCTTGAGAACCATTTAGAAAGCAAGCTTAATGTTTGCGTCAGTATTATAATACATGAAATTTTATAGACCAGTAATTGTTGTAGTTAACTCTGTTGATTGTACAATTAGATCGTTTAAAGTTCGCTTCGTTGAGCCGATAACAGTTTTTAAGCCTTTGATAAAGTTTATAGTGGCATATAATAAGCTCTTAATTGATTCCGCTTCGTATTTTGAAGATCACTGAAATTAATCCATATACATAATTTCAATTATTTCGATGACACAAATTGCAGACATACAAACCTATTTTTTAACTTTATGGCTCAATAATTCTGTTTAAACATCCTCCAATTTAGTGCACAATTAGGAACAATAATCTTTATTCTATGCTTTCGATATGATTTGTATTTGTTCGCCGATTATTTGCCATCGATAATCGGCCTTTGCCATCGGTGCATCACTGTTAAAAATTAACCCCGTCAAACGGCATCTGAACTTCGAGTGAGGTACGACGGCATTTAGCACCTTTTTATTTTTACTTTTTATCGTGAAATATTTCCCACTTGATGTGTTGTGTGACTCACACACTCGAACAAATGCTGGCGCTGAGAGCGCATTTTATATTGTGGGTGCTGCCTTCTCTAGCTTTTTTGTTGTCGTTTTTCACGACTATAAATAGACCAGTGCCAAAGAAAAAATTTTATAATATTGCCATTTTATTATATAAAATATATGTGGTGGGTATATGAGATTCGGTTCTCTCTGGTCGTTCTTTCTATCCGTTTCGAAAATGCACCGATATGGCGAAAAACAATACGAAATATGTATTGTACGTTCGCTCGTTCAATGTCCAAGGTATTTGGGATTCCCATGTGGGAACTTACCAATAAGGCGTGCGTCGGTTTGTCCGGAATTGCTTGCCTCATAAGTCCCCCAACTGTCCGATTCCCAGATCGGTTTGCACCATTATCGCCTACTCCGGCAATTGATTATTCACTCGGCACACTCTATTTACCCGATTTACTCTTACCTATGTATGTATGTATATACAGTCTTTGTCTCGCCCCGATTGTAGCATTTGTGTTTAATTTCTCTTTAACTTTTAGTATGTGCAAAGTACTATCAGACCATTTCCAATTTTAGGTTAATTTTTACTTTCGTTATTTTTGTTTATTAATTATTAGTATAAAAAATAATAACCCGTTTCCCAGGCGATAATTAAAAGATTTGAATGCTTCAAGAAAAAGTATTTTAAAGATGTTGAAAACAGACTCTCTCAATTTCCTGTTTAAACTAATTCTAATAAAATAAAGCTTAATTCGGAAGTCTTTGCATTGATAAGAAATTATTAGTTAGTAACTTGCATTGACATATGTAAGTTCAAGGGTGTGTTATGATGATTGGGTGTTTTTTGCAAATGCACTACTTAAATGTGATCAATAGTTACTTTTGAAAAACACTCCTGCTGCAAGTTCAAACTTTCGCATTATCTCTATATTTTTGTTTTAATACTTTCATCCACATTCTGATAACGAGCTCATATTTCATTTCTTGATAGCAAACGCTCTCATTTACTTATTTTTATGAAGTAGCCCTGGTCGGTCGTTTTATATCGATCGATTGTTCGTGTCTCTGCGGGATTGTAGGTGGCAGCCCTGGCGATCTGCAAAGATTTCCTATAAAGTGCACCCCCAGAACTGCGGTATGTATATGGAAACGTGGCAGAGGCCCGTCTCCGATGAGTTTCTTCTTCTTGATGCCCCATTTCCTCATTGAGTATTGTTATCACCACCTCGCTCGTTTCTGTAAAGAAGTGTAGCACAAAGAAAACTGCTCGTGCACAGCTGACAGCTGCATCGTTCCACGAACAGAAGTATGTAGATATATACATTACACAATGTACATACATACGTGTATACGAACCGAGTGTGTCATCTATTTTCCAACCGTGAGATTATACATTTTTACGTGTGTATGTATGATGTGCATGCACCTAGGGGAATGGATTGGTTTGGATTGTGCGGCGGGTTTAGGGAAGCGTGTTCACGTTCGAGAGCGTGTGCGTTTTGTCTTTTCTCTTGAGCATTCCACTGCACACGTTTTTCACCATCTTTTCACAAAGTTTCCATTTATTGCACCTCGCAGCGAACCAGGGTATATTGTTTTGATGAACCGAAGCACATTTAACTACAAGTAACCAATAGGGTGATGTTAAAACCATGATTTTAATAGAATTTGTTCAAAGATCTTAAAACTACATTATTCATTCAAAACTATCATTTGTATAGAAACATTTCAGTCATTATTTACCATGTGTGCTCTACTGATTGCTAAGTATATTATAGTCGGGATCGTGCTCTTTTTACTTGTTCTTTGTTTTCCTTTTCCCTTGGCTCCTTGGCGGTTTATGGCTCCTGCTTCCTGCGGCCAGCTGTTGTCGAGATCCTGGAATTTCCTTTTGCCCCTCCCTTTCCCTCTGACCCAGGGCCACCTCTTCCCATCCCTCCGCACTCCTCTCCTTAACTCTGTGGTGTCGCAGTGCATTGGCCTTTCGGCGTTTTTCCCTCAATGCTGTTTGAACAAAAACGAAACTTGAAATGGTATTATGCTGGCTGCGCAGCGACTCTACTGTTTTATATGCACAGTTTGAATCTATTTCAGCTAATTTGTTTAAAGTTGGCGGCGATTTTTTTGTTACCGAGGCGGCGTCCAGGGACATCATTGTAGTTACACTTGAGGCAAAGAAAAGATACACACATTTTAAAAACTCGAGAAAAGTAGTGGAATAGAAAATGGTCATACATTTTTTTATTTTATTTTGTGTAAAAAACATGTCTAGTAGTCTAATCAATGTTTTCAAACCATCTTAACGATAAAAATCGTTTATCTTTATTACGGGACAAATAAGTTTTTTTTTATTATCGATCAAACAAGTCATTTTAATTATTTAAACACAACATTCAACCCGACTTTGAGTCTTAACGTATGTATGTAGTTGCACATCAAATATTAATTTTGATTATCACTTCAATTTCAAGATGTTTTATTGTAGAGTTATGGCTGTAATCACAGCTAAAATGTAGCAACAAACGGATTTCTTATCATTGGCAAAATAAGGGTTAGGGCTTCCATTTTCCGGCGGACATTTAGATAACGTTCGGATTTTCCCAGACATATTCCTATCTTGTCGCTCTCGTTTGTATAGCCGTTCGTCTGTAAGCTTCTTTCTCCTTTGCTCCCAAGGGCAGGTGTGCGGCCTTGACTGTTTTACATTACTTTTAGCTGTTGGTCCATACGGTAAAAATGAAGTAAAAATAGATAATAAAAATATGAAATACACAAGTAAACTTACCTACGTACATATACGCACGTGTTACTGAATATATGTGCGAGTTTTCGGTTTAAAATTTCTAACAAAACAAAGAACCCAGATAAGCCGGTCACAAATTATTAAACAAAAAAATTAAGGCAAAAAACAGAAACAACTTAAATGCTAACACTGAAAAAAACTCACGCACACATACCAGCACAGTTACAGTACTTAAAAGTTAGAAGATCCGCGCTACGGTAAATCTACCAGAAAGCGGAAAATTTTCGTATGCAAAAATGTCAAAAGTGAACAAAAAATACCAAAAACAACAACGTCGGGGCTAAAATATGACAGCGAATGTCGCGTGCTCTGCACCCGCGCTCTCTTTGCTAAGAGAACCTTGAGTTTGAGAGTGTTGGAGCGGGTGAGAGCAACGAGAGGCAAGAGCGAGTAACGTAAACACAAAACAGCTGAGCGCGAAAAACGTATGATCGCGAACGCGTAACGCAAAACAAACCAAAAAAGCCAAAAAATCTATCAAGTAACGGGAGAGTGGAAAAAAACTATTTCAAGTGCAAAGCAAGTAAAATACTAAAGTGTTTTCTTTTTTATTACCCAAGTGCAGAGTGAAATTAAGTCAAAGCAGTAACAAGGCAACGGAACAGAAATCAACAACATACACACCCTCGCACAGTATAGCAACAGTCAACTCACAAGTATGCCAAACAAAGCCATAAACGTGATTTTATACTAAAATTGGTCACAATTTTGCAGCAACAGAAGTCAACGTCCAAAAATTCAAAGCTCATATCTCGATTGACCGATTAGTCCAGACCATCAAATCGATAATCGCATTTACCAACACTGTTGCGGCGAAAGAGCGGAGCGAGTGAGCGCGCAAACAGCTGATTGCGACTGGCACACGGTTGTTGCAGTCGTGCTGTTTTTCTTTCTGTTTTGTTGAAACTTTTTCGCTGCAGCGATAAAGAGAGCGGAGCGAGAGAGGGAGAGCAGCACAAACTACTACGTGTGACGTGGTGTGGGGGCATACAGGTGGCAAAACAGCTGTTTCAACAGCAAAACCAATCTGTTTTTTTTAATAGAATACATAATCAATTGTAAGTACGCCTGTGCCTGTTGGCTAGTTAATCCGCCACTAAGCTGAACTATTATTCTTATAGTACCGCCTGCAGATTTCCAGCTAAAAAACAAACACACACAACCAAAAAGTAAGCTTAGTCTATCTCATTTTTTTTTCCATTTGCTAAGACGTGCCCAGATCACAAAAAGCTCACACGCGCAGAAAGAGAGCTAAAATTAAGAGATTGACGAGTGCCAAGTGCGCACATTAAAATATTGCAAACTTGTTTTCATTTCTGCCTTGCTTGACTGGCAAAAACAAAAACAACGAATTATACGGCAAGTGATACAAGGCACGTACATATCAAAAAGAAGCGAGGAGCCAGAGAGCGAGAGTGGCCAGGTTAAGAGCGAACTGATCTGCCACTCGCTACTTCCGCTCTCTCACTTGTAATAAACGAGTGCACAGAGAGCAGTAGCAACAACAACAACAGCAGCATTCGACGGGCAACCACTTGAAAGCAACTCGTTTCGATTTCATTTAGCAGATACCTTTTGTACGTTGATTAAGATACCTTGGCACACACAGACGCACTACAAAAGAAGAGAAGGCAGCTAAAAACTGCACTTAAAAAACACAAAATCCACTCGATAAATTCAGAACAGTTCTCCAAATAAAAGTACAACAAAATCCACTTGACCAAAAATGTCTTGAGTAAAAGTGTCGTATACGCGCAGAGCGTACGTATATTTTATATATAGATATATGTATTCGTGTGTGTCCGCCAGCCAATACAAAAGAAGCACAAAAAGTGGTTAAAAGGCATTAAAATCAAACAATATTTAAAGTGCTGAAATTTAGAGTGCGTGTGCAAAGATTTAAGTGTACAAGTATGTGTTTGTCTGTGTACACAGCGATAGGCCAAAACGTACTTATGTATCTATGTGCAACTAAAAAATATAATAAGCAGAGTCAGTGCCAGTAAAATATATAAAAATCAGCGTACAAACACAGATGATTTTTAGCGAAAAAGCGAAAAGGAAAAAGATTGAGCAGCAGCAACAACAAAATCAACAACAACATTAAGAGTCGCGGAGAAGCCAATCAAACCAGCAGTTGTCTCGCTTCAACGCGCTTGTTACGATCGCCGTATGAACGAGTGAGAGAGCGTGAGACCAGTCACGGACGTGTGCGAGCGGAGCGGAGCATTGATTTGCTGTCTTTGATTTTGCTTATGACCTGAGGTGCTCTCTTACATACATATAAACACCATCATCCAGGCAAACAGAAACGAGTGTGAGCGAGAGAGGGAGGGAGAGCATGCGACAAACGTACGCACACACATATTGACACCTGGCGCAGGAGTCGCTGCTTGCGGCACTTTCAACTACATAAAAAAAATAGCAACAAAAGCAACAGGGAGAGAGGAGAGCGGAGCAGTAGCCTTCCCCACCTCCCTTGCTCAGTAGTAACATTAAAAAAAACACCAAAAACAGGGACAAGAGAGAAAAAATACATGCCTACCTTAACCCAATTAAAATACCATATTATTTAACAAAAGAAATTGTGTTATTTGCAAGCAACACAAAATACAAAGAGAGCGATCGAGCGAGCAAAAGGGAGAGAGAAAGAGAGAGAGTATATGACTTTTTGAAAGTGTAAAATTTTAAAAATTGTTGCCTTTGCCATACGGAAGTGAAATTCTTACTGCAAATACAAAGAGTCTTCAATCGTTAAAAAAGAAAAATTTTCATATAAGCTAAGCTTTAAAAGTCATCGAAAAAAGAGAGCCTTTATAGTAAGTGTAGTTGTGTCAGTTAATAAGAGAGCGCTGTGCATGTGTGTCACGTCTTAGCAACAACGTAAATTTCCGTTACGATTACAACATACTAAAATCAAGCAATATTTGCACAGAATCAACAATACCTACAAACATTAGCATCCAGGAGAGAGGAACTTCCAGGTGCAGCTTACCCAACACGTCTACTTCCACGAGTGCTTCCCGTACTTCCCGTCCTTTCCACGAGATCAACCGTCGACCACCTTCCAGGCAACAAAAACCAGCACAGCCCAGCCCCCTTCCACGATTTGCAAGCTGGCCCAACCAACACAACCAAGCGCAACCTTCCAAACAACAACTACTACTGATCCGATCCATCATAATCCATTTTATCCATTTTCCGGAAACGATCGAGGGGCTATCTAATTGCTATCTGATTGGCGGCTAGCTGCGCGCACGTTATGACCAATTCGATTGCGTCAACGAAATGCCTGCCCAATGCACTATCGACCGGCAATTATGGAATGTCCCAGAGCCACCGTTACACCGATGATAGCAAGGAGTACATCATCGTCAAGCTCACCGATTCTGCCTTCCGTGCGATCGAGGAATATCAGCGCGATGACAACGCCAAGCGTCTTCAACCAGGCCAAAGGGCCAAAATCCAATTTGCGGGCAACACGGGCGTCATCCAGCTCCCGCGATCAGCGACGGATGCTAATGGCATCCCTAATGCTAATGGCAATAGCAGCGACGCGACAGGAGCAGGAGGAGGAGGTGGTGGCCGAAAATTTGGCTTCACCATCAACAATATGGAGGGAACGCTTGAGTGCGTTCAGCAGCAGCAACAAAACCTCAGAGTCCTCGGAGCGGTCACCCTGCGAATGCGGATCCATGCCAATGACGATGTCTACGATACGACACGCACAAAAATGGCCATTGCCGAGGAGACGGAGAAGAGTAAGTGCATCAGGGAAATTAAGCCGAATCAGTCGGATATCGGGCGTAAGGTGAAGAAGCCGCCATCAGCAATCCAATCCTCCTCCGTATCCGCCTCCACCGCCTCAGCCTTCTCCTCCTCCAACTCCTCTAACTCTGGTTTGACGACGACGGCATTTCATCATCACAGCAACAGCAACAGTGGGAACAACAACAACAGCAGCAGCAATAGTTTTAATAGCAACAACCATAGTCGTAAGTTAGGTTCATCGCCATTTAATGGCCTAGGCGTAGGATCCAGCAGCTCCTCCAGCGCGTTTGCCTCGCGTTCACCCAATCCCAGCACGCTGGGCGCCAGCGGCACAGTCAATGGCTCTGGCGTTGGTAATGGTCGCTATAATGGTGGTGTAGCCTCCTCGCTAGCTTCCACATTCGCCAACGGCATTTCGCAGGGCTACAATAACCTAAGCGGCAGCTCGCCAAGAGATTCGATGTCAGTAGGAGCATCAGGTGCGCCTGCCTCATCAGCAATCTCCTCACGCAACAAGATGCCAAGCGGAGGCCTCACCTCCTCCAACTCCAACTCCTCTTCGTCCTCCAGGAGTGCCAATAACAAGTCGTCGGGCGGCAACAAGATGTCGGATGTGTCCCGGCGCAATATACGCGAACGGCTTATCCATCTCCTGGCCCTCAAGGCCTTCAAGAAGCCTGAGCTCTTTGCGCGGCTGAAGAACGAGGGCATTCGGGATCGGGAGCGTAACCAGATCACCAACATACTCATGGACATTAGCACCATGTCGCACAACACGTACAATCTGCGTCGCCAGATGTGGAACGATGTGGACGAGAACTGGCCCTTTTTCAGCGAACAGGAGGTGCAGCAGCTGAAGCGACGCAAGCCGCAAAATCTGACACCGCCAATGAGTTCGGATGCGGGCAGTTCAACGTCCGGCCAGAGTCCCACATCGACGCACACGGGCAGTCCGCCGCCGCCTTCAAGTAATGGTGGTCCCGGAGGAGTCGGAGGGGGAGCAGGTGGTGGGGGCATGAAGCGGACCAGCCTTGAGTACGACGAGACCATGTTCAGCACTGTTCAGCCCAAGAAGCAGCGCATCAGTCACTACAAGAAGGACACTCCACCATCGGGGACGTCGTACTCCTCCGCCGCGGTATCGATGTCACTGAGTTCCTCTGCATCCAATCGGAATCGCTATACGCCGCCGCAACGCCAACCTGGTCCATTGGATGATCACAGCACAAGTGACCTTAGCTACAATGTGCTGGACAACATGGAAGAGTTTATGAGCTCCACGGCAGCGGCGACACAGCAATCGATTGAACAGCAACATCATCCGAGGAGCAACAGTAGTAATAGTAGACGAGGCAGCTCCTCGTTGGCGGGCACCAGCAATGGAGGCAACAACAAGGATAAGCGGAATTCTACGGGCAGCAATTCGAGCAGCTCCAGTGGCTATGAGACGCAACAGGATCGCCAGCGGACAACGGCGTCGATGTCGTCAAACCGCAGCAGCACCAAATCTTCATCCGCCTCCTCTTCAACGACGCCGCCGAAGCTTGCGGCCAGTTTTGTGCCCGCGGCAGCGTCTGGATCCGCTTCCGGTTCCAGCAAACAGCGTATGCCTCCCCAGCAGAGCGACTACAATTCTTACAACAGCAATAACGCGCAACATGCGGCCTCCAACAGCAAGAAAAGGACGAGTAGTAGTGGTCCTAGTGGTGGATCGAATGGCCAGCGTCAAAGAAGTGCCAGTGCCTCGAATTCCGGCTATCAGCAACTGCCGCCATCCTTGTCCACAGCCTCTTCCAACTCGCGGTCGTCCCTCCAGCAGCAGAATCAGCACCAGAAGCAGCAAAATCAGCATCAGGTGCAACAGCAGCCAGCGCCGCAGCAGCAGCATAATCAGTACCATCAGCAAGCCAAGCATCCGTCGCCCTCGCAGCAGTTGGCTGCTGCTGCCCATGCCTATGCCCATGCCACCGCGGATACGGACTCATCCTCCATGCCGCGCTACGACTTCAGCCAATACGTGCCCATTCAGACGCTGGAGGTGCGGCGGCGTTACAAGACTGAATTCGAAAGCGACTACGATGAGTACCGCAAGCTGCTGACGCGCGTCGAGGATGTGCGCAATCGTTTTCAGGATTTATCCGAGCGTCTGGAGAGCGCCAGGCGCTGCGACAACGGATACGGGGACTACGATCACATTAAGCGACAGATTGTCTGCGAGTACGAGCGGATCAATAACGATCGTACCATCGGAGAGGACAAGAAGCGGTTCGATTACCTGCACGCCAAGCTGGCGCACATCAAGCAGCTGGTGATGGACTATGACAAGACTTTGATGAGTGCCACGACGGCGGTGGCGCCCACGGAAGTGGTTACTCCTTCAGCGCCTGATCCAGCTGTGGCGGGGGCGGCGGCCAGGTTAGCCGAGCAGCAGAGGAGGCAACATCACGCCGCGGAGACGATAGAACAGAAGCAGCAAAAGCAAAGACACTATCCCCAGCAGCAGCAGCCACATCAGCAGCATAATTTACAGCAGCAACAACACCCATTGCAGCAACATTCACAGCAACAGCAGAATGTGAGTAATTCGGATGACAGTTCGGACAGCTCGGATTCCAATGATGATGACGACGAGGACTGCGATGATTCCAACTCCAATACTGATGACGACGAGGCACGCTACTGATCCTGATCCTGCTGGGACTACTTCGATGAGACCATTCGCAGAATCCCCATGTAAAAAGGCAAAACAAGCAAGAAACTATTATAAATACAACACTATATAGTAAAAACGCAAAAAAAAAAAATACAACAAGCAAAGTAATCATCAAAACGGAGAAAACACCAACAAAAACGTTCTATAAGAAATTGTACTACAAGCAAACAAAAAACCTTCAAAAAAATGTTGAAATTATGTTAACAAAAACAAAAACTAAACAAAAATACAAACTTTCGAGTAAAATAATTTTTATTACATTAAAAAAGAGGGTAGGCGGCGGGCCAGAACTGCTGCCACCGATTTCTACATATATATAATACATATATGAACTATATATACATAACAACAAAAAGCCAGAAGAAGACGATATAATGAGGAGGATACAAAATCAATATTTTTAAAAGCAACGGCGAAAGCAAAAAAATTATATACGAGTTGTAGACTTAATTTTTTGTTGAGCATATTGAGCAGCTTAAGTAACTAAATGAAAACGAAAACACATGTTTTTCCTTGCGTTTTGTGTGTAATAATTATTATGATTATATTATTATTATTATCAACAATTAAATATAGCGTGTATGTTTTTCGTTTTTAATCTAGACTCTTCTTATTTTATTCTTGATTTTGTTTAACATTTGTTACAAACGGCAAACACTCACACCTCACCTCACCTCACACAGGAAAAGTCCACAAAAATGTATCACATACAAGACACACACTACACTGCACAGGACTACACTCATAAACAAAACTTCTGCATTTTCGGGCATAGCTTTTGTTTTAGATTTGTGTTTAGAAATGGAGAGATTGAGAGAGATGTAGCGAGCGAGTGGGCCAGCACAAAGTGTCCTCGCTGCTGCCGACTGCACGTGCCCGATGTCCTGCATTCAGGACACTCATATACCTATGTAGTGGGAATGGGGATTGGGTGCGAGTAGAGTTAACTGATATTGAGCCAATGTTTGCCTAGGCCTACGATGACCACAACTGAACAGCGTGACCAACCGACAAACAGACAGACAGACTGACAGGAACACTGAGAGAAAGAAGAGAGAGCGCCACGGAAAAAGACCTGAAAATCAATTGCCATTGGTTGGGGAGGTAATTGTTAAAAGAATAATTTCGGCCTGTTATTCACATTTCAGTTTGGCAAGACATTTTAATATACAATTAACTTATGATTGGTACCAAATAGGTATTGGTTTGAAACTTAAGAGTAGAACAACATAACAGGTCAAACCTAATTCACATCGTTTGTAAACGATGAGCGATGTAAGCTCCTGACTTTGGACTCGCTGCCGCTGCATCGTTTACAACCAGCTCGGTGTTACCAATCCCCATTGAATAGGCAAGAATGTGTATAATAACATTTCCCTTTGGTGGTGTTGCATGCGGGCGTGCCTCTAAACAATAGACTGAACTTTTAAACGGCTTGTGTAGAGAAAATTCTTGTGTTTTATCGATAACTAGTTAATTTGTTACATATTTTTGTGTTTTAACAATACACAGGGTTTTGTTTTTAGCCAACAGCAGCGACAGTACAGTACCTTTTCAAACGTTAAACTATTGACATCAGCAGAAATAGGGACACTTTCCGAACTGAGACGAAGACGGAGACTTTATTTATAAACATTTTATTTGCGGCTTTGGACTAGTTATTGCTCAAAAACTATGAGAGGACTAATAGAAATGATATACTTAATGGTTGTATCACAGCTATGGCGACCCCTTAAGTTGTTTGCTTTTAGTTTTAGGACAACTCTAAGCGTGTTACGAAAGCTTCCTTAAGTAAAATAATAATATCGAACTAAATAAAACTGAAAGGAGAGATGAATAAAGTCGCTTGATAATTATCAAATTATTTGCTGAAACTCTAGTGTCCAAAATGATAAAGATATAGGAGGAAGATGAAACGAAACAAATGTAAAACTAAACCAAGAAGTTTAAGAACTAACACGAAATTGAGGAAAACCATGAAATTTTAGCTATTTCGTTGCAATATTTTTTATATATGATATTTAAGTAGTAGGGGATGAAAAACAGACGAAAGGGAAAATCAAATGAAACATTGAGATCAAGTTGCAAAAATCAAGCGTTTAAAATCGATTCGTAGCAATTACAACAGAAAACAAAAACATATATACAATTTATATACAAGCAACAAACAAAGAAAAAAAAACACTAAATATATACAAAATATATATATGTATATATATATATATATATATAACATTGACATTTGATAAGCAACAAAAGAAACTTACTAGTTTTATATAAATGCCACGCCCTCATACATGAATACGCCCACAAAACTCACACACCAAACACAACAAACACCCCAGGCACACACACCAACACACTCGAGAACTAACACAGCAATTGAAAAAAGGAACTTATTAACGATTAATGATTGTGTAAGCCGAGAATAGAAGAAGAGTAAACCAGATCAAGAGACATGAGAAAAATATTATTATTATTATTGTACATCCTAAGAGCAAAACCGCTGACAAGACCAGCAGAATGAAAAATCTTACAAAAAAAGAGATATTGTTATATACTAGTAATTATTAAGACCACAAACAACAAAAGAAGAAAGATGAAAAAACTTGACAAAAAAAGCAAAAAATAGAATCAAATAAAATATTGAATCGGAAAAAATATGTTTTTCTCTGTTGGTTTCATTTTGATTGTTGTTTCCGCCATCTTTTGCCCACCAATCATCGATTGAAGCTCCTTGAACATGACTCACGGTAAATCCAGGTCGCTTTCCAAAGCGATCTATATATTGGGATATCACTAATCAAATCTATTCCCTAATCCTCTAACCACTTTAGAAGAAGAAGAGGCTCAGGAGGACAATGCACCTGCGGCGGAGCTGTCCAACGATTCCGACGCGCCTCTGAAGCCGAATGTAAGTATTTCTATAAGTTCCTATAAGAAGTATGGTATATAGATGTACTCCTTAAATACCCAGCAGAATGACGAGGACGACGACTACGATCCGGAGGACAGTCGCAGGAAGAAGAAGGGCAAGAAGCGCAAGACCAGGAAGGGCGAGGAGAAGGGCCGCAAGAAGAAGAAGCGCAAGAAGAATGAGAGCGAGGAGGACAGCGACTTTGTCCAGCACGATGAGGAGGTGGAGTACCCCAGCACCTCCAAGCGCGGCCGGAAGCGCAAGGAGGAGAAACAGGCCGCCAAGGAAAAGGAGTCGGCATCATCCGGTAAGAAAAAGGATTAAAAGTAGGTAAAAAGGTAGTCATTCATACCGATTTTTTCACGCATTTCAGGAATGCCATCTGTGGAAGACGTGTGCTCGGCCTTTAGCGTCTGCGATGTGGAGATCGAATACAGTGAGGAGGAGCTGCAGAGCTTGACCACCTACAAGGCTTTCATGCAGCATGTTCGTCCGATTCTTCAGAAGGAGAACCCCAAGATTGCGGCACCCAAACTAATGATGCTGGTGGCAGCCAAGTGGCGTGAGTTCTGCGAGAGCAATCCGCACATCCAGCAGGAGGGTGGTGCCGCCGGCTCCGGTGCATCCGCTGGCCAGGCGCGCAGTGTGGCAGGCGATGAGCCGGAAGAACCTCGATCATCGCGTTCCTCGCGCAACGAAAAACCGGACGACATTTACGAGGAGGCCGTTGAGGAGGAGGAAGAAGAGGAGGAGGAGGAGAAGAAGCCGCGTCGAAAGCGCAGTGGACGTGGCAAGAAGGGACGTCGCCCTTCCGGCAAGGTGCCCACTCTAAAGATCAAGCTGCTCGGCAAGCGCAAGCGCGATAGTTCGGATGAGGAGCAAGATGCTAGCGGTGCATCGGAACGCGATTCGGATCTTGAGTTCGAACGGATGCTCCAGAAATCGGATGACAGTGCCGATGAAAAGGAGACTCCTGCCTCCACCAAGGCGGACAACTCGGCACCTGCTGCCCAGGACGATGGATCAGGAGCTCCGGTGGTGCGCAAGAAGGCCAAGACCAAGATCGGTAACAAGTTCAAGAAGAAGAATAAACTCAAGAAAACGAAGAACTTCCCGGAGGGCGAAGATGGTGAGCATGAGCACCAGGACTACTGCGAGGTGTGCCAACAAGGAGGTGAGATCATCCTGTGCGACACCTGCCCTCGGGCATATCACTTGGTGTGTCTGGAGCCAGAGCTGGATGAACCGCCAGAGGGCAAGTGGTCATGTCCCCACTGCGAGGCTGACGGAGGTGCTGCTGAGGAAGAGGACGATGATGAGCACCAGGAGTTCTGCCGCGTGTGCAAGGATGGAGGCGAGTTGCTGTGCTGCGACTCCTGTCCCTCTGCCTATCACACGTTCTGCTTGAATCCGCCACTGGACACTATACCCGATGGCGATTGGCGCTGTCCTCGTTGCAGTTGCCCTCCGCTTACTGGCAAGGCTGAGAAGATCATCACCTGGCGATGGGCACAGCGTAGCAATGACGACGGTCCCTCCACCTCGAAGGGATCAAAGAACAGTAACTCTCGGGTGCGAGAGTACTTTATCAAGTGGCACAACATGTCCTACTGGCACTGCGAATGGGTGCCAGAGGTCCAACTGGACGTCCATCATCCGCTCATGATTCGTTCGTTCCAGCGGAAGTACGACATGGAAGAACCGCCCAAGTTCGAGGAGTCGCTGGATGAGGCGGACACCCGTTTCAAGCGTATTCAGCGACACAAGGACAAGGTTGGCATGAAGACCAACGATGACGCCGAAGTGCTGGAGGAGCGCTTCTACAAGAATGGCGTCAAGCCGGAGTGGCTCATTGTTCAGCGCGTAATCAACCATCGTACCGCAAGAGATGGCAGCACCATGTATCTGGTGAAGTGGCGCGAGTTGCCATATGACAAGTCCACATGGGAGGAAGAGGGCGATGACATCCAGGGCCTGCGACAAGCCATCGATTACTATCAGGATCTGCGTGCGGTTTGCACCTCGGAGACCACTCAGTCCCGCAGCAAAAAGAGCAAGAAGGGTCGCAAGTCCAAGCTCAAGGTGGAGGACGACGAGGATCGCCCGGTCAAGCATTACACACCGCCGCCGGAAAAGCCAACTACTGATCTGAAGAAGAAGTACGAGGATCAGCCGGGTTTCTTGGAGGGCACCGGCATGCAGTTGCATCCCTACCAGATCGAGGGTATCAACTGGTTGCGCTACAGCTGGGGCCAGGGCATAGACACCATCCTGGCTGACGAGATGGGTCTGGGTAAGACCATTCAGACGGTCACTTTCTTGTACTCTTTGTACAAGGAGGGTCATTGCCGCGGCCCCTTCCTCGTGGCCGTGCCACTCTCGACGCTAGTGAATTGGGAGCGTGAGTTTGAGCTGTGGGCTCCGGACTTTTACTGTATCACGTATATTGGCGATAAGGACTCGAGAGCAGTTATACGGGAGAACGAGTTGAGCTTCGAGGAGGGCGCCATTCGTGGGAGCAAGGTTTCGCGTTTGCGAACCACCCAGTATAAATTTAATGTACTGCTGACTAGCTACGAGCTGATCTCCATGGACGCTGCTTGTCTAGGCAGCATTGACTGGGCGGTGCTCGTGGTGGACGAGGCCCATCGGTTGAAGAGCAACCAGAGCAAGTTCTTCCGTATCTTGAACAGCTACACCATTGCCTACAAGCTTCTGCTAACTGGAACACCGCTGCAAAACAATCTCGAGGAGTTGTTCCATCTGCTTAACTTCTTGAGCCGCGACAAGTTCAACGATCTGCAGGCCTTCCAAGGCGAATTTGCTGACGTTTCGAAGGAGGAGCAGGTTAAACGTCTACACGAGATGCTCGGACCGCACATGCTGCGTCGTTTGAAGACGGATGTGCTGAAGAACATGCCCTCCAAGTCCGAGTTCATTGTGCGTGTCGAGCTGTCTGCCATGCAGAAGAAGTTCTACAAGTTTATCTTGACCAAGAACTACGAGGCTTTGAATTCGAAGAGCGGTGGTGGTTCTTGCTCACTGATCAACATTATGATGGATTTGAAGAAGTGCTGCAACCATCCGTATCTCTTCCCCTCGGCCGCAGAGGAAGCAACCACTTCTGCCGGTGGTCTCTACGAGATTAACTCGCTGACCAAGGCCGCTGGCAAGCTGGTCCTGCTATCCAAGATGCTTAAGCAGCTGAAGTCGCAAAACCATCGTGTGTTGATTTTCTCCCAGATGACCAAGATGTTAGACATTCTCGAGGACTTCCTTGAAGGCGAGCAGTACAAGTACGAGCGAATTGACGGTGGAATCACAGGAACATTGCGTCAGGAAGCCATTGATAGATTCAATGCCCCCGGAGCTCAGCAGTTTGTCTTCTTGCTCAGTACTCGAGCTGGCGGATTGGGTATAAATTTGGCCACGGCCGACACTGTTATAATTTACGATTCCGATTGGAATCCCCACAACGATATTCAGGCCTTCTCACGCGCTCACCGTATCGGCCAGGCTAACAAGGTGATGATCTATCGATTTGTGACTCGAAATTCTGTGGAGGAGCGCGTTACCCAGGTGGCCAAGCGAAAGATGATGTTGACTCATCTTGTGGTCCGCCCGGGAATGGGCGGTAAAGGCGCAAACTTTACAAAACAAGAACTGGACGATATCCTTCGTTTCGGTACCGAGGATCTGTTCAAAGAGGACGACAAGGAGGAGGCTATCCACTACGACGACAAGGCGGTGGCCGAGCTGCTGGACAGAACCAACCGCGGTATCGAGGAGAAGGAGTCCTGGGCCAACGAGTATCTGTCCTCTTTTAAGGTGGCTTCGTACGCCACCAAAGAAGAGGAGGAAGAAGAAGAGACGGAGATTATCAAACAAGATGCCGAAAACTCTGATCCGGCGTATTGGGTGAAGCTGCTGCGCCATCACTATGAGCAGCATCAGGAAGATGTGGGTCGCAGCCTGGGCAAGGGCAAGCGCGTCCGCAAACAGGTCAACTACACAGACGGCGGCGTTGTGGCTGCAGATACCACGCGGGATGATTCCAACTGGCAGGACAACGGCAGCGAGTATAACTCTGAGTATTCAGCTGGTTCCGATGAGGATGGCGGCGACGATGACTTCGATGACCAGAACGGCGGCGAGAGAAAGGCCAAGCGGCGATTGGAGCGTCGCGACGATCGTCCATTGCCTCCACTTTTGGCCCGCGTGGGTGGAAACATCGAGGTGCTCGGTTTTAATGCCCGTCAACGCAAGAGCTTCCTCAATGCCATTATGCGGTACGGAATGCCGCCGCAGGATGCCTTCAATTCACAGTGGCTGGTACGGGATTTGCGTGGCAAATCGGAGCGCAATTTCAAGGCGTATGTTTCTCTATTTATGCGGCATCTTTGCGAGCCGGGAGCAGACAATGCGGAGACCTTTGCCGATGGTGTGCCGCGCGAAGGACTATCCCGCCAGCACGTGCTCACCCGCATCGGTGTGATGTCGCTTATTCGCAAGAAGGTACAGGAATTCGAGCATATTAACGGATACTACAGCATGCCGGAGCTCATCCTCAAGCCGTGCGAGCCTGTACGATCAGCCCTGAAGCAGGATGTGGCGGCACTCGAAGCTCCGCCTGCCGGTGGAAATGTCGACAAGAGCGCTACTACCAGCAATAGCGTCACTCCAGCCACCAGCGCCGCACCTAGTCCGGCACCAGCCTCGGAGAAAGGTGAGGACAAGGACAAGGACTCTGAAAAGGAGAAGGATAAGATCCCGGCCGAGAAGGGCGAGGTGAAACAAGAACAAGAGGCTGAGGAGGATAAGAAGCCCGGGGATGTGAAGCAGGAGAATCCGGTGGACGAAGCATCCGGCGACACAAAGCCCAGCGACACGGAGGTCAAACCCGAGGTGGCTAAGACAGAGCCCAAGGAAGAGGCCAAGGACCTGGAGGTAAAGGAGGAGCCCCAGACCGAAGATAAGGAAAAAGAGAAAGTGGAGGAGAAGAAGCCAATACCACCGACTACGGTGATTGACGACGACGATGACGATGTGATGATTGTCAAGGAGGACGGTGAGCTAGAAAAGCCCAGTGCCAGTTCACCCAAGGATCAGAAGGCGGTCGCAGCTGCTGCTGCCACTGCAACTGGAGCCACTGGCAAAGGAGTGGAGGACAGCTTGGAGGTCCTAAAGCGCAAATTCATGTTCAACATCGCCGACGGCGGATTCACCGAATTGCACACTCTGTGGCTCAACGAGGAGAAGGCTGCCGTTCCTGGCAGAGAATACGAGATCTGGCACCGTCGCCACGACTACTGGCTGTTGGCCGGAATTGTGACCCATGGTTATGGCCGTTGGCAGGATATCCAAAACGACATCCGCTTCGCGATCATTAACGAACCCTTCAAGATGGACGTTGGCAAGGGCAACTTTTTGGAAATCAAAAACAAGTTCCTCGCCCGGCGTTTTAAGCTGCTGGAGCAGGCGCTGGTCATTGAAGAGCAGCTGCGGCGAGCGGCCTACCTTAATCTCGCCCAGGACCCCAGCCACCCGGCTATGTCGCTAAACGCCCGTTTCGCTGAGGTCGAATGCCTGGCTGAGTCGCATCAGCATCTGAGCAAGGAATCGCTGGCGGGTAACAAGCCGGCAAACGCTGTTCTGCACAAGGTGCTCAACCAGCTCGAAGAGCTGCTCTCGGACATGAAGAGCGATGTGTCCCGGTTGCCAGCCACCCTGGCCCGCATCCCACCCGTGGCGCAGCGCCTCCAGATGTCCGAGAGATCTATTCTCTCCCGCCTAGCGGCCACCGCAGGAAATGCCTCTAATGCAGGTGAGTCTTGATTGGAAGGTCTTACTCTTCCTGACCTGCTCTTTAATTTGATATTCAATTGTACTTTTATTTCTGTTGCAGCTCAATTAATGGCACAATTCCCGGCTGGATTCCAGGGCACAACATTGCCAGCATTCACGAGCGGACCGGCTGGCAACTTTGCCAACTTCCGGCCACAGTTCTCGGTGCCCGGCCAGCTATCGAATAATTCCGGCGTCTAGGCATCTCCTCAATATATATGTTAAGAGCATTCGTATTCCATGCAAATATACTTTACTCAAGCTAAGAATTTAAATTTCTACACGGTAACACACCCGCACACCCACAACTTATATTTATCATAATCATTTGCAATGAAATACCGATATCAAGAAGGAAAAAATGGACCCATGTCGCGTTCACACAAATAATTAATACAAAACGTTTGACACTTGGCGAATGGCGAGTTCGGATCTCAGCAGAGCACGACTCGCGGTCAGTTCACATACGACAAGTACAATAGTTCTTATTAACTTCTCTACTATGTGATTACATAATCTAGATACAAATATAAATGTATTTAATTCCATTGCAAAGGAGTTCCGGGAGAATTATTTACGTGGGCTTACAGGGGATTACAATCCGAAGGATCTGCAGTATTCCGTAAGTTTCTATGTTCTCAGCCCAAGAGTCGTATTTTGGACGTACTCTACTCTGTTCTTCTCCCTGCCGTCAACAATCAAAATTCATTAAAAGCCAATTTATTTCAAGCGTTAAAAGTTGTTTTATTCATAGCTTTTCGTTTCGAATATATCATCATGTTCATGTATATTAATATAAATTAGTTAAGTTCTGCATGTATATATATATCTGTGGGTGTATATATATAATTTGTAAATATCAAATACATAATCATTAGACATATTGAAGTCATAATTGATAAGCGCAATACTAATTTCGAACCGAATCTGCTCGGCGCGTCACACAAAGCCAATCAATACATGTAAATACGTATGAGTAGACCCAACAATAGTCTGCGAGTTTTTGGGATGAAATTCGTAACATCTTGATATTGCTGATCAATGGATAATATCAAACTGTCCACAACGTTTAGCCGTTCGGGGTTCACTTCCGCTTGTTATTTACATTAATAATTACAAATTAAATGGAATTTCCCGACAGGGTCGGGCATAAATAATAATAAACTGGCACTGCTGGCCTAATACAATTAAAATGTTTAAATTATATACAACAAAAACAAAGCAACAAGAAACTATTGAGAATGGATTTGTTCGGCGTAACAAACTAAACTCCATATTGGCCAACCAATATAACGTATTATCTACAAGCTAAATATGAATATTGTATATTACATGCATTACACAATTCTCGGCAAAGAAAAAGACTTCGTCTTAAAACTAATTAGGGTAATGATAAACTAATGCTGAAAATCAAAATAAGCTTAGAATAGTAAATAACAAAACACACGCGGTTCGAAACAAAACACAAACCCTCTAGAACAGAACGGATAGGATTGAAAAATAGATCTTCATAGCCGAGATGTCCATGACATCAGTTAGGAAATTGAGCACAGCTTCTTCAGCTCTCCCTCGGTCTCGTCCACCTCGAGTGGCACACCAGCGGTATTGGGCAGCGTCCGTCCCTCGATGTTCGGCAGATATGGTTCGTAGTCCAGGCCCTTGCGTTCGTAGAACAGCAGATATGCAGCACTTGGATCAATGACCGGCTTCTGGGATATTTCGCGGCAGGAGCTGTCGTTGTAGCAGTACCAGGAACCAGTTGCATTCGATGCATAGGAAATGTAATGACCTCCGTTCAGCATACCCGAGTGAGACTGCAAAATAAAGAAGGTTATCACACACTCAGGAGGATTAAAGCTGAAGCTAAAGGTTACACCCACCACAACAGCATAGAGTCGGTATCTGGGATCGAACTCATCCATATCTGGTTTAAGTCGGTGTTGGTGGTAGTCTTCGAATTCGCCATCCACGATAGGCGTTTTGGTGAGACTCGTCGAGATGAGGCGTTGTCGCCGGGCAGCATTTTTGTTCTTGCTCTGGCGCAGAATATTTCCTGTGGGCGGTGGTGACGCGGTAGCCTTATTTGACACCGTTTGATTGCGGATGTCTTCCTTATCCTCCTTGCTGGGTGCATCAATCTCGTCCAATTCGCTAACAACTTCGTTGGTTGCCATCGTAATTTCAGCATCCTTCTTCAGCTCCAGCAGCTCCTTGTGCCGCAGTATCGTCTCCTGAGGCACTGAGGCCAGATACGGAGTGGGATCGAAGTCATCGAAAGGAAAGTGGACCACTTTCTGTGACTTGACCCACTTGCCGTTCACGCAGTTAAACCGCTTCAAGTGAACAATCTGAGGAACATTAATTATCATTAAAATTTCACTCGACTTTTGGTGATTAAGCGTAGCTTACCAATATCGGAGGCAGTTTCCAGATCTGGAGTTTTTTGGTAGCGGGTTTCTTGCCCTTGCAATGACTGCAGTGATACCACTGCTCCAGTTTCTCCTCGGAGGTGAAGGCGCGCAGGCAATGATTCAGGTCCACGGGCTCCACTTGCTCCCGCCGACTTATGGCAATGGTCTCGTGATCCACCCACAGCTAAAAAAGAATAATCAACTTATAGCATCGTAGACAAGTTAATGTGGAGTCTACATACACGCTCCAAGGTACTTTGGTAGCGCAAGTGCAGGGCGGTCGGATCCCAGTCGATGGCAATGGTAAAGTCTTCAAAGTATTTGGTTGTCGGTGTGTACGACAGGGAGGCGGTATATTCCGGCGTCCGTTTAGCCTCCAGATTTGGTAGTGATGGGAATTTAGCATTCATTTTTGGCGTCGATGTGTTACCTGCAAATAAAAGTAAGAAGCTTATTTCTAACATTTGAAAATGGATTTTACTATCTACGCACTCGCGGCGGCATTGATGGGCGGCAAGGCTCCCTGGAGTACATAATCATTGTTGCAGCGAATCTCGCATCCGCGACAGAAGCTTGACCAAGGGCAAATCGCGCAGGTTAGTCCATCTGCCTTAACAGCACGCAACGTAAAGGGGAAATCATAGCCCAGGCTGTCATCACTGCGTATACATAAGATCGGTAAGCAGAAGCATTAAACAGCTGGAGATACTTACCAATCGGCGGCATGATTCGCCTGTTCCGTGGTGGCAGGCAAGGGGCTTAGCAGCCTGCTCACCTGCAGCCACACGGCGCAGTATAGATCCTTGTGGGTGCCACCCTCGCTGTTTGGAATGAGCAGGGGAACGCCAAAGAGACTTGGCCTCGTCTTGTGGTAGGAAAGGAAGTAGCTGTCGTGCCGCGTTATCTTTCGATGTACGGCTACCAAATACTTGCCCGCCTTGTGCGGCGGCTGCGAGGAGCGACGAGAGTAGACCCCGCTACTGGTCTCCGGCTGCGAGGTTGTGATTTGATCCGGCTGATCGTGCTCCTCCGCGTTACCCTCCTCCGCCTGCTCGTCTACGTCCAAACTGGCGCCCAGGGTATGGCCAGTACTAAGGCCACTGGAATCGTTCAGCGACGTCCGGTAGGAGCAGTCATCGCTGCCACTTCCATTACGGCTGCTGGCCGGCTCCAGCTCCGCCAATGGGATGGGTTCCGTCAGCGAGCTCTCCATAGAATTTTCGCCGGAATGATTCGTGTAGGACATGGAGCTAGTGTTGCTCTCCGTGTGCAGCAGTTTGGCGGATGATACGCACTTCTGCTGGGCGGCAGCGCCGTGCATAAATGTATTCTCCGGACTGGAGCTCAGGATAAGCGACTCCTGCACCGAGAGTTGGTATTAGACTTAAGTTGTGCTGATACAGGGTTAGTTTTTAAAGGGACTTGGTGGGTGTAGTCGTGAATTAAAGCTTTGGGATCTCTATTAACCATGGAACAATCTACGAAATAGCTATAGGGTAAACGCTAAAACGCTAAATCAATTATAAAATGTACAAATTGTTTATGGCACGTGTTTTAATTAACTTGTTGGTTCGTTTTAGTTATTTAGTGAGGGCGGTAGAGTGTAAAACGGCAGTTATTTAATTAACATGGTTTAGGTTTTATACAGGTCTCGAAAGATATTCTGTTCTTTAATCTAATTTAAAATACCACGGAGAAATACATCAAAGTCACTTGAAATATGAGACTTTAAAATAGTTTTAAGAGTGAATTGACGCAAAAGTAAAAATGTTTGAGTAACATTTACATATAATGAATATCTGATAATTTGTATTCAAAACTACATCAAAAACACATCTATTAAACAAGCTAAGAAAATATATTTCTTTTCGGATACTCAACACATTCTAAAAACAAACAAAATATACATATGTATGTGGCATCGTAAGGCTATGAGAATGATCAAAAACTACGAGAAAAATAATAATTCACAAGCTTCCAACTTGAAAACCAGAAACAACAAAGAGATTTCCAAGGATAGCCAAGAGGTGATTCGAAAAGTTTGATTGGGTTTAAGCAAATAATTTACATTAGTTATAGAATAAGGCCAGCAACAAAGTAAGTGATTAGTAGAAGGATGTATATATTACAAATATTTGATATCAATTTGGTAAAAGTGTGCGAATACGAAAGTAGGGAGAATAAACAGAGAATGCTAGTACTTTTGTGTAGTTAAGAGGGAAGCCCACAAACCACGCAGCAGACGGCAACTGTTCATTTAACATAGTGTATTTAATATATTTAGATCAAACGCTTGTAAAGTGACAATCAAGAAGCAGACGGAGGCGGAATCTTTGGCGGATTCGTATTTCGCATTCGCAATCAAGGACGACCCGAGACTCGCCGCTGAGGAGCAAGTTCGCTATCCTAGGCAAGGAAGTTCTGAAGCTTTGAATTTTAGAATTCGATATGGCCCCAAAAAGATGGGGCGTAAGTCTATGATATTAAATACGTGTATGTTAATATAGTTTAGAAGCCATACCTTGAAGCAAAATAGGCTGTGGGGCATGCACTCTCTCTTTCCAAAGCACCGGCTTACCTTTCCGGCCTCATCTGGCAGCAGTTCGTGCACCTGGTTGTCCCCGCTTCCGATTCCGCTGTAAGTGCTCACGTTGGGATTGTAATTGCTGTTGCTGTTGCTGTTGCACTGCGACACATCCGTTCCCACCTCCGCCTCGCCTTCGACCTCCAGGCTAGAAGCGTGGCCATTGCATAGGACTCGTGACGAGGCGCGGTGACTGGATGTTTGCAAAGTGCTCAGCGAGGACAGCGAGTCCTGGGCGCTCGTGATGAGAGCTGAATTTAAAGTTCCAAAATTTAGAAACACATCTATCTGCTATGCCATTAGGTGACTTACCGGAACTGCGCTGTATGTCTTTAAGACCCTGCTCGATGTGCATGCTAAGTCCTGAGTTGGATCGGGTTCGCACACTTTGTTCTGGCAGCTGATAGACGTACAGCTCCTTGGCACTCTGCGTCCGCAGTTTCTCGTCGTCGGCCAGCACTTGGCGTATTTGTGAGTTCCATAGCTCGCAGACGAGCATTAGATTTGGCGGCAGGGAGCACATGGTGGACAACTTGTGTTTCAGGTGCGAGTACTTGCAATCCGAGTTCAGGCGAAAACCATATTTGATTGGCACGCTTCCATCCAACAGAATTACTACAAATAAGGACAGTAAAAATAAATCCTACTTAATAAATAAAATTCTACTACCAATTACTTACCCAAGACCTCAAAGTAGATAAAATTCTCTACCGGCAGCGGCAAACTGAGTAGACTAAACGGATCAAATCGTACCGATTCGTGTCCACAACCCAAACAGCTGACCTTGGATTTCAGCTGGCCGTAGAACAGATCAATGATAATTGACTGGTTGCGGGCGTGGTGCTGCGACCAGGCTTCGGCGGCGACTATTTTGTCTGGGCGCCCATTTGAGTCCTTCAGCTCACTGTACGGCTTCTCCATCACGCGGTTAAGGTCCTCATGCAGAGCGTCCAACAGCCACTCGAGCAGCTCCTGAGAATCGTGCTGACCTCCACCGGCGAACTGCGGCGCATACTTGTTGACGCAAAAGCGTAGCTTGAGCGGCGCCACAGATCTAGTCGTTGCCGTCCAAACCTCCTTGAGCAGCTCCGCATAACGCATAGCTAACTGGCCCTTTGTGCCCAGTTTGTTGGCCGCGTTCACCTCGAAACGGTGCATCTCACGCTGGAAGTATTGTGCCAGTGGTTGGGTATTAAACAGCACCTGGAGGGCGGCGTTCATAAAGCACGTGTTACCCAGGTTGTGCAGGCCAGTGGCTCCGGGTGCATGTACCGACATAATTGAACTACGGGTTAGGCGACGCCGGTCCCCCGGTGTTCCCGCACCCTGGCCACTTTGAGCGGTGGCCAAGGAGCCCAGTTCCTCCGGCCAGGTCAAATCTTTGTTGCGGATTTCCAGCAACAGCTGGTCGTTGTCCCGAATGAGCAGCTCTTTCAGGCACATGGCATCCTCTTCTAGCAATATGGCACCGTTGTCCAGCTGTGGAACGTGCCACAGCCGTATGTCCTCCGACTTGAGACGCAATTGCTCGCATAAAAACTCGCCCACCTGGCGCACCGTGGCGAGTCGACTAAAGGCAGCCGTGTAGGCCAAGTATCGCTTCGGCGGTTGGAGTACACTGCTTGCGGCGATGGCGGCATATCCGCCTCCGGATGCCAGGACTCCATAGCCACCGCTCACTGTAGAACCCCAGCTACCGAGTTGAGTGCCTCCGCCTGTCTGGGATGGCTGCACCTGGTGGAGCAGGATTCGCAGGTTCAGCGGGTAAAGTTCTAGTTCGACGTCTGAGTTGGGTGGTTGAATGACCTGGAGAAATACGATTTAAGTTAATAAATAACCGGCTTTGATTTCAAAAATAGTTGGTTTGCTTACCTGTCGTGGCAATGGAAGATTGTCGCCATACCATCGATTCAATGCCTTCCACAGTGACTTGGGCACCAGTTCAAAATCGTGGTTCTGCACCAAGGGTGTGTCCCGCTTGAGGTGACCACCCTCGCCGGTGAGAGTTCGAACATTCCGGAACGGATTGGCGGTGATCAGATTGCTGTTGTCAATAGGCCCTGGTCGCACAGGTCCGCAATGCCGTCCAGCTGAGATGCCACTACTCGCCGACCCGGAACCGGATGCCGATCCCGTGCCGGAACCCAGGGAGTAGCAATCGTGCTGTTCCAGGCTGTGGGTGTTGAAGCTCTCATCGCAGACGAGCGCCTCATCAACAGCGGACCGCTGGTTGGCAGTGCGCTTGCAATAGTCGCAGGTGTGTGCCGTGTGCTGGGTGTACTGCATCCAACTAAGCCACCAGTCACGCGTAATCAAGTACCAGAACTGTCCCACGCGGTACGGCCTGCGTTCCTCCCGTCGCAGCCATCCGCGAACAATATCGTTCTCCATGTGCTTGCACTGGGGCCACAGGCCAAAGACGATGTGACACAGCTCGAAGATGAGGTCAAGCAAGGGCTGCATGAGTCTCAGATCACACTGTACAGTCCACAGCATAAAATCCTCAGCGGTCAGCGAGACATTGTCTCGGGTTAGTTTACTAGGCGTTCCATCCGGACTCCTCCTCTGGCCGAACTCCAGAAGATCACTTATCACCAGCTGTTTGGTCAGATCCTTGTATTGCTGGGCCTCTCGATTTTCCTTGGCTACTAACAGCAGAACATTGATCATCTGCAGTGTTTCTTCGTGACTAAGAACTCCATCTCTATCCACATCGAAGATTTTGAAGCAAACTGTGGGTATACGTTTATTATTCAATTGATCATAGCGGGATAATAAATGTATTTAGTGCTCACAACGTGTCCTTTCCACACCTGGTCCCCGGCAGGCGGCACTTACTCCGCAACACAACTCCTTGAAGTCGATGTGTCCGTCGCGGTTCTCATCAAAGGCGTTGAATAGACCTGCTAGAGCATTCTTTGGTATGGGTGGGCTGATCAGGGGTCCAAGGAACTGCAAGTCGATTTGGCCATTTTGGGAAGTGTTTTTCAAACGCCAAAACTCCTTTTCCAGATCGCCGATATCCTGCAAAAGAATTTAATGGGGTGTCAATATGAACTAGCCAAATGTAAAAACTGGAATGATGGGCCATAGAGGTAAATTGAGGGGCGGATAAGAAAAGAGGTGTGGAAGCAAGCGGAAATGATTTATAAAGTAGATTTTCCACGAAATGATTCCAATGCATATGTTTGCAAACTTCTAATAGCCCCAGTTGCACATGCTAACCTTCTCCTCAAGATGCGTCACTCCAGCGAGGCTCTGGTAGAACGTTGGCGTCTCCAGCTCCGAAGTGAGGCTAACACAGTTGTCGGCCAGCAGCCATTTGGAGAGAACCGTGGCATTGCGATGCTTTATGATCCAGTCCTGGAACTGATCGAAATTGACGCGTTCGCTTTGGGCGAAGAGGGAGACGCTCTCAAAGGGAGCCAGATTGACGTTGCGCACATAGTCCGACTTGATGATGAAGGTGCCGGCATCGTTGCAGTAGAGGTTCCACAGGAATCTAAAACGAAGGTAAGTAGTTGTGTTTGCAATAACAAGTTAAGCTTTGCATATTATGGCTCACTCACTTGGTTTTCTCCGCTTGGGTACCTCGAGTTATCAAGACCAGACCGCAGAGCAGGTCATTGAAGGAGATGCCACGCTGGGTGCCACCACAGGCGGCATATAACATGTCCACGATCTTTGGCGGCACTCCCTCGCACAGCACATCCTGCTGAAAGGCATTCCGACTGAGGAAGTTCCTGCCCACGCCAGCTGACTTTTTGAAGGCATCTCTCAGGCGCCGAAGCTCCACGTCGCTTACTGGAATATATATCGGTAAATGAGTAAGCTTGCGGTAGGGATTATCCCATGTGCCTCTAATAAATGGCCGGTATGCTTGGTAACCCCCTCATTTGAAACGATTTACGACCTCGATTTCACACCAACCGACGTGCCGTCAATAACGAACTGATTATTGGAACACAAACCCAGTATCAAAACGCAATCCAAATACACTCGTTGTAATTGTTTGTAATAGCAATCAACATCAATTCCGAACTCATTTATCAATTCCATCACTTATGGTATTAAGATCCCCTGTTACCTAATTAACTATTATCAGTAAATGACTTTTCACCAATTACTCGATGTGAAAAAGTGTAAGTGTTCAGGTGCAATAGGAGGTAACTATATAATTTTCATGATTCTGTCGATCAACCAATAAAAAATTTTCAATACAACTGTGGTTCTACAACAAAAAATCCTGTATTCCTTTCATCACTTTCGAAAAGATAACAAATGAAGAGGGTATCCCGAAGTCTACCACAGTTATTTTTATTTTTTATAATTGTGAATCATTTTCAGAGGAATCAAAGCACACAACAAACTATAGCTAAAAACCGTTTCGCACATAAGTCAGAAAATGATAAGAAATGAGAAAAAATGTGCGATAATCATTTTGTGCATTCCTAATAACATGCTAATTTTTGTTACTACATTTTAAATGTAATACATTGTATGGTTGTACTTCTCTGTGGAATAATAATATATTATTAACAATTTTTTATTACCAATAATTATTATACTATTGAACATTTTTCATTCATGCCCCGTTGCTTACAATTCAAAACGTTGATTATTTAATATTGGAAATAAAAAGCCACAAGAAGCATTGAATTGGCAATAAATAAACCATTTTAATTTCAACGATCAGGTTGAGAGCATAGCCAACTGATAAGCGCCGAACCGGGCGTTTAAATACATTCCCAAGTTAATTGGACAATATTGCAGGCGAATTATGCGACGTCACGGAAACGGCATTTTATTGAATGTCAACTGCAACTCGAGTCTGCGATTATTGACCACTGCACGCACATACATACTTGCATGCTAGCCCTCACTTTCCCCACGTTTCTTCAATTTCCCTCCCATTGGCTTGGTTTTACTGGAACCGGTTGGAGTGGGTAATAAGAAACACACGCACCTGGTCGCACGCCCCACTCCAGTGTGGTGGGTGGTGGAGCGGTGGTCCGGAGTGCTGGTGTTCCGGGGCAGTGAGTGTTATCAGCGACACTTTTCAGAGTTTTCTTAACTCTGGCTGGACTGCCTGGTCACAAATCAGCAACCATAACCATAACAACACCAGCAGTTAGATGATTGCCAGCGCAAAGGGAAGGTGGAATAAAGTAAGTAAAAGGCAGTAAGGGAAGCTAAACGTCATTGAGATTGGGGCGAAAGGGGGTGGAAAAGTGGGGTAAAATAATCTCAACTCTTTGGATGATTACCAAATTGATATTGCTGGTTCATAATTATAAAATATTTGGAAAACCGCGAGGAGTCCATTTCTCAGACTTTGTACCCTTTCTAAAGAAATGTAAATATTTTAATAGTATTCGCTTGATAATAATTTCGCTTGAAATTCAATATTTATTTCACAGTAATAATCAGCTGCTCTTATAACCAAATACTCTTCCTATCTGAACATGAACTTGATAGGAACTTAAATACGATTCGTAAGAAATCGGGAAATGACACGCAGAATTAATAAATTAGCCCAATAAAATATTTATTTTCCAGTTGGAAAACTGAACAAGACCTCATGCTTTTCGAAAACTAAAAGGCTCCCCTTTCATTATGAAAAAATGATTTGATGGAGGTTTCTTTATAAAATACTTCAACAGAAGACCTGTGCACATAGGGTGCGAGTTGAAATGAACACTGGAATGGCATTCTGAACTTGAAATGAATCGTATTCGCAGCGACATCCGCATCCGCACATTCCAGTCACCCTAAGCGTGAACTGCACTCCACTGGCTGTTTAACTGTTTCTCATGGGCCTTCGCTGCTTTGTTGTCTCTCACCCACCCAGCACACACCTCCTACTGCCCACCCCATTCGATGAGCTTTTCTATTGTGACGTCACTGGCGGCGGAGACGCAAATACCCATGCACATGTAAATGCACATGAAATAAAGAAGCCACACTGGAATGGCAGCAGATAATTGCAAGAGATAGGATTAAGCGGAGCAGGAGGAGGCTGGTGGTCAGTGGAGAATCCAGTTGGTCAGCAGACGTGGGCGCAGCAACACAATGGAATCGATTGCACCTGCTTGTAAGTTGTTGTTGTTGCTTTTGGAGGGGGTTCTGTTTTCTTGATTAGCAGTGACCTATTTTCTGCGGCTGTACGACGGTACAAGTACAAGTAGCCAGCCGGAGGAGACTCACCGCGCTTCACCGAATCCTCGTAGCTGACGCTATTGGAGTGTTTGGACTCCTTGGTGCCCATGGTCCAGAATTTTTTGTTCGCGGGGGTGCAACTCAATGGATTCTGGGGCTCCTCCTGCTGCTGCGACTGGCGACACCACTTATCACATTGGCTCAACTTCACTTCACAGTCGCGGGCGGAACAATGGGCTAGGGTTGAGGATCAGGTGCAGGATCAGGACGATATTTGTATATAAATATCTAATATACACCTGTCTTTTTGGCTCTTGTCTTGTGCTATTTTCTTATGTTTCTTTCTATATTCACGCACTTATTCAACACTAACCCCAAACAGCTGTTTTCCCCATCGCCCGATAACCTATCGATAGGCGACGGCGGGCCAGTGTTGCGCAGTAGTGAATTATCGAAACTCATATTTTTTGTACGGGCGTAATTAGAAAGCAGTAATTAACTCAATTTCCACGTAATTTCCACAACAAACCAACGTAAACTCGCTCTGCGAAGCGAGCGCCTTTGCATTTGCCCACCGGATAAGCTGCCGCATGAAAACCGAAATTCGGGCGCAGACACAAAAAAAAGTCTTAAAACTACGTCGCCATTTTTGACACGGCTCCGAAATCGAAAACACAACACACACACCCAAGAGAAAAGAGCTGCGCTGCGGAGAGAAGGAAAAACCTATACGTTTTCGATTCGATTCAATTCGATTGTGGATTTGTGCGGTTACGTCTGGGAATAGTTTATATGTACATACACTGAACGTATGCACGCATGGGGCATAGTCGTGATTAGTGTTATTAGCCAAGAATCGGAGAGGAAGTCAGTTGATTAAGGAGACGACGACGTGTACAGAGCATCACCCTTAACCCTTACCCTAACCCCCAACTAAACACTATTATCGGGGCAGATACTGTGATCCTACCGCAAAAGCACACAAAATGGCCAAGACCTACGACTATCTGTTCAAACTGCTCTTGATCGGCGACTCCGGAGTGGGCAAGACCTGCATCCTGTTCCGATTCTCCGAGGACGCCTTCAACACAACGTTTATATCCACAATAGGTGAGTGCCATCATCCGCGTTTTCCGCGGATTTCTCATTCTTGTTTATTAATTATGACACCTTCGTTCGCATGAACTCATTCTCAATTCGGATTCCGAGCTTCTGGCCCAGTGACTCATAAAGTGCCAACGTTCTCCTCTTTTCATTTTCCCTGCCCCATCCGGGCGTTTGTCATAATAATTCTTGTTTCCATGGAAGGGGCACACCCCCATGTTTGATTTCTCGCCTTTATTAAGATTTCCCCGTAGAGGACATATCCGGATGCTTTATCGCCCCCTAAGATTCACACCCGCTTAAGTTAAGGAAAGCGTTCAGAAATAAATACTCCATACTCAGTACGAGTGCCCACAGTCTTTGTACTTTCGCTGCTCTTATCGCTCTAGAAGCCGGATTCTTCCGATACGAGACATGTCCGTCGCACACCGAATCGGGAATGCCTTATTAAACCAAACAGACCCAAGTAGTTATTCCCATAAGAATACAGTGAAACCTTCCTAGTACCCACAACCAAGTATTTAAAAATAAATTCCAATGATTAATAAATATGATATCAACTATTAAAATAAGGCTTCAATTATTAATATTATTTAGCTTTAAGCTTTAAAAACATAACCAATATCCAATCAATGAAATTTCATGTGACAGTAAACCCCATGTAGCTAATCATTTTCTTTTTATTCGAACAATAATATCACAATAATATTTGATGTGTACGTTGTACACTCCTGTACTTGTAAACACAAATGTAGAGCGATTCCCATCTCTGCTCGTGGCTAATAATTGTTTATTTTCGTATTTGGCACGTTTTCCTTGCGACACTTCCAATTTTGGGGCATTTACTTAACGACATTGTTTAAATTAATTGCGTGGTTGGTGGATTTCGGTTCTCTTTGTCTCTTATTTTGGCTTCGATGTCATGGGTTCCGACCAAACAGGTTTAGCCTCTTGCCAAATTATTTAAATTAATTAGCAAATGTACATGTGTCTGTATGCTCATCTGTTTTCTCTTTGCAGGTATCGATTTTAAAATTAGAACAATTGAATTAGATAACAAGAAGATTAAGCTGCAGATATGGTAAGTATAGGCAAAGACATTTGTAATTTCTAATTCCTAAATATCCAAAATTTTTCCAGGGACACTGCCGGCCAGGAGCGTTTTCGCACAATCACCACGGCCTATTATAGAGGTGCCATGGGCATCATGCTGGTATATGACATAACCCAGGAGAAGTCTTTCGAGAACATTAAAAACTGGATCAGGAATATCGAGGAGAACGCCTCCGCCGATGTCGAGAAAATGCTGCTGGGAAACAAGTGTGAATTGACCGATAAGCGACAGGTATGGAAAAAGGAAATTAGTGAATTAAGTTAGCTGGTTAAGTTAGAAGCAAATTTGTCTGTATCCACATATCACTTGCTATATGCACGTGTAATATATTATTTATTTTCAATTAAGTTGACCATCTATCACCATTTGTATATAAAACCATTGAGGGATCTGCCATGATTGGGTACAACTTTTTTCTATACTTCGTATCTTCGTAAAAAGATGAATAAAGCATATCGCCGATAATTAAAGAATTTTCCACCCATTCTAGGTTTCAAAGGAGCGCGGCGAACAATTGGCCATCGAGTATGGCATCAAGTTCATGGAGACCTCCGCAAAAGCCAGCATTAACGTGGAAGAAGCCTTCCTCACCCTAGCCAGTGATATCAAAGCGAAAACGGAAAAGCGAATGGTGAGTGTTCGGGTGGCGAGAACCGAACAAAGCGTTTTTTACTGTGGCTAACCAATACATCCTTTGTGTGCGCAGGAGGCGAACAACCCACCCAAGGGCGGTCATCAGCTGAAACCGATGGACAGTCGGACGAAGGACAGTTGGTTGTCCAGGTGCAGTCTGCTTTGACGTGGCAACGTGAGCTCGGCACTGAAGCGGCATGGTGGCAACGACTACACGGTAGTGGTTTATGGTGGTAACTACGAGGTAGTAGTTTCCTTTACTCCTGTTAGGTTCGAGTAAAAGCGGGACCTCGTACAAGCGGACATTAACTGACATCTAAATCAACCTTAAACATCAATCAGCAGCCGGCTCTCTTTAACCGAAAAAGCGCGTTAATGGAATAGAACACAAATTGCATTATGAAACAGTTATTAAATAAAGTATATGACGACATCGTGTACGAAATATACCTAGGCATGATAATATATATATACGTATATAACTCAAGTTTAAAGAATATAAAACGATCCAGCGATAACGTAAATCGAAGAGCAGCCAATCCAACCCGCCCGCGTCCTTCTCGAAGAGGTTTTAGTATTTACGGAATTATGATTTTTTTCTAGCAGCCATGGTTGTCGATTTGTAAATTATTAATTATAAAGCAAATATATATGTACTATGTATGCATATGATTAGTTCATCTGTCCTTGTTTTGCTCATTGCTTGTGTGCCCTTTCGATCGATTCAGAAACCCTTTTGCCATTACCTTAGAAATACGGAGGAGGTCCAGACGCACAATGACCCGAAATTTGTAAAACCCCTAATCCGCCCCACACCTCCCCCTCCCTGGTCCTAACTTTATATCATATAATGTGGTAGTATCGCACAGATTGAGGGTGCTTATTTTATTATTATTCTTCTTAATCTTCACACACATTTCATTTGGTTAGTTCGTACTCTATTTATTTTGTTCTTTTCCGCACACCACATGACTTTGTCAATAAATCGTTACGTCTAATAATAAAACATTAAGAAGATTTGCAGACGAGATATCACCAATTAAAAGTAGTCCATCGATGAGAATCGATCGGCAGCAACAAACAATTATGAACACATACACAGCGCAGTAAAATAAATAATGTGAAATTAAATGATAACTAATTGCATATTTGATATTAAATAATTACTTGTAATATTAATGATTAAAAGTATACAATTTTATAAAAATAAATCATGTGCAAAACCAACAAGGTTCCTGGACTATTATATACCCGTTACTCAGCTAGTGGGATGCTATGTGAATGTTCAACATTCTTTTTGGAATATCGATATAAATTGAAAAGACAAATAATTAAATGAAAAAGTTCAACGCGGCTTTCAGAAGTAACGTTCATACGGACAGACGGACATGGCCAAAATGACTCGACAATTGATCCTGATCCAGAATATATATAAAGTTTTTTTTTAACTTCGGGCAAATGGCCACCATGTGAGTTTTTCAGAAACTGCATCCTGAAGTCCAATTCTGGATTACTTATTATTTGACGGGCTGTTTGGCAAGTTGGCGCCGTCTTGTTGCAACCAAGTGTCTTTCTAGACCATTCTCAATCACTTTTGGAAACAAAAATTCATAGATAGCCGAACTAAACCCTATTGAAAAAATACTTCATATGATCGGAAAGGCTTTTCTGTTACATACTTATTGACTAATCTAGTATAGCCTTTTACTCTACGAGTAACGTGAATAAAAACGGGTTTTTTACTGGAAAAGGTTTTTAGAGGAGCGTTACGTAACAGGGAGCTTCTGTCACCGACTCCAGTTAACATAAACGTTTGTCTGTTAACTAACATTTTGCGCAATTGCACGGTGAACTAAGAGATCGCTTAAATGCCAAGTTCAATTTTAAAATATCTATATCTATAATAAGAAGGTATAATCTTTCTTCGTATACAGGGTTATATGTTCAAAGGAGCAATACCTTCATAAGTGCATAAAAAAAGAAACAACCAGTTTATTATTAATTTGCTATTTTATTATTTATATATGTATTAAAAACCGTCCACAACACATTTTGCTTAAGATAAAAAGAATTGCGTGTAGATACAAGTAGATTGTACGATACAAACATTTAGTTAGGGGAGCATAACATTCACACACGGGGACAGCCACGAATTTGGGTTTAGAACGATGGAAAAAGATGTGGTAAGTGATAAGCGCCTTTAGGTGGAAGTATATGCATATAATAAGCACACAAGCTATAACTAAGAGGAATTGCACGTTGCGGATCGAGTGTAGGCAGAGGGTTACACCTGCGGCAGGTTCTGGTAGTAGGTGGACAAAATGCACCACGCCTTCGGTTCCATGAAGCCATCCGGCGGACTGGCTCCAGTTTTGGCCAGTGTGCGCATCTTGGTCCCCGAGATGAACTCAAATTCATCCTTCCTCTTGGGCTCAAAGAAGGCCATTCTACTGGCGCTCTTGTCATAGGCAGCAACACGAAAGGGCAGGATCTGAAAAGAAAATATCGATTTTATATTCGGCTAGATTTGGCCTTTGGCAGTGGGACCTACCTCCATGCTGTCTAGTCCCTGGGCCATCTTCAGCACACGCGCTCCATGGGTGGCATCGTATAGGTTTCCATCCGGATAAGTTTCCTTGCTCGGATGCGGCATGCCAGCCGGATCGCGGCCCACAATGTAGAAGTTTGCGCCGGCGTTCATGCGCGCCTTTGCGTGCCACTGCACCTCCGTGGGACCGGCGTACATCATTGGCGAGGGAAAGATGGCCAGTACTGTGTCCTCTCGTCGCAAAACACCTGCGTCGAGGACGGCCTGGTGTTGCTTCATGCGCACATCCAGCGGCACATCGTCGTCCTTGGTCCAGCCACCCAGAGGATGCAGCAGCAGCACTGGCTGCTTGAATCCGCGCTCCAGCAGCTGGCGGCGAGTGTCTTGCATAAGCAGAGCATGGCCGTTGTGGATGGGATTGCGCAACTGAAAGGCGAAGATGGCGTCGGCATTGAGCTCCTTGAAGCGGCGCCTCAGCTCGTTGGGAGTCAGCCTGTACTGATCTAGCCCGTCCTCCCAGCGGATACGCTCGATCACTGCCAGATCGCCGCCTACCAAATAATCGCCGGACTCGTAGACCTGTTTACTGTACGGGTGATTGGGATTGCTGGTGCCGAACTGGCGCGCCAGCCGCTCCTCCTTACGCTGAAAGTAGAACTCGGGACGCCGCAGTATGGCCACCGATTTGCCTTGGTATTTGAGAGTCAGCGAGGAGCAGCCATCCAGCCGATCCTTGTCCGCCTGAGTGGCGCTCAGAACAATGGGCACCGAGTGGTTCTCGCGATAGGAACCGTCCATGCCGCTCTGAAGTGTGTTGAAGTGCAGCGTCTGCAGGTACTCATCCTCGCGCATGAATCCGCGCAGTGGATATGCCCAACCCTCGGCCAGCACTTGCACCCACTGCAGCTCCACGGTGCTGATTTCGATGGCTTTCAGCGACTCGGCCTCGTTGCGCAGTGCCTCCGTGGCAATGGATTCGCTGGGATAAAGCTCCGGCAGAAGGTCTACGTCGCGCAGCGAGCGCGGAATGATGCCCTCCTGTTCGAGCAGCGTCACCAGCTTCTGAGTGGACTCGCGCACCGTGTAGCCGTGCGTGTTGACCACCAGTTCTGGCATCTGGGGTCGCTCGTACTCCTGCGTGATGCCCGTGAACCCTTTGATAACGCCCTCGCGCGCCTTTTTGTAAAGTCCCTTCACGTCCCGAGTCTCGCACACATCCAGCGGAGTGTCCACGAATATCTCATAGAACTTCAGGCCCGCATCCTTGTGGATCTTGCGCGCCATCTCGCGGTCGTCGGCGAAGGGCGAAACGAAGCTGCAGATGGCCACCACTCCGCTATCGGCAAAAAGCTTGGCCACTTCGCCCACGCGGCGAATGTTTTCCTCGCGATCGGCGGGCGTAAATCCCAGGTTCTTGTTTAGCCCGGTGCGAATGTTGTCGCCATCCAATCCGTAGGCCGGAATGCCCCGGGATACCAGGTATGCCTCCAGTTCGAAGGCAATCGAGGTCTTTCCAGCACCACTGAGACCTGCAAAGGAATGAGTTCCAGCATTTTGTTGAGAAAGACATATTTTAATGTTACAAAATATGTTCATACTATACGAATTTTTGTAAAAAATTAGCATCATCAATTATAGCCCATTGCGAAAACATTTAGATACACAGCACACTATATTCTTTTTTCTATATAAGTAAAGACGTCTTTTTTACATTTTGTGGTTTTCGTAATCTAATAATAAACATGTTAGATAAGACAGTCAGAGTCCTACTCTCCTTGAGATCAGTCGTGTCTTAGTTTCAATCAAATCAAACCTAAAGCTCATTAAGTAACATACCCAAACCACCAACAATTCTCAATATCAACCAGATATTCAGTGAATTTTAACAACCGAGAAATAACCTACGACATATGTATAAACAGGAACACCAAGAAAGGAGACCCGCCCGATCAGGGACTCAAAATCCTACCACCAACAGCACGTGCTTCTACATTCCCCCGGACCCAAAAACATGATTTTATCCAGACCCGACCCAGTTGTCGACCTGTCGACCTCAAAACACCCCAAAAATTGATAGCAATCAAGATAACAAACAAATGCGACAACAAAACTGCGCTTACAATTCTTAGGACTCGTAACACTAAGACCACTCCGCTTTCATTCGCATCAGCTACCAAAAATGGACTACAGATCAGCCACAACACTGAACTAAACCAAAGCAGAGAATTTCAGAGAACGAACCCAAAGGACAACAATAATCTACTCCCTCCAGGACTCCAGCATCTTATTTCTTCTGAAAATAGTAAACTAGACACCATAAGCTTGCCTTTAACTAGCCATAAACAATCCTCAAACCCATCTCAATCCTCAAATCTACAACAAACAAAAACAGTCCAGAGGACCACTGATCTTAGCAACCCATTTATACCCCCACTAAACTATTTGAATGCTAAATATATTACAAAGGAACAGGCTATAGGAACAATTACTCCCAACTCCAAATACTAATTAAAAAGTTTAGACCACATATCATTGCCCTTCAGGAAACCCACATATCCCACACCTCATCCCTCCCTATGCCTTTGCCATAATCTTGAAAATTTACTGCAGCTTCAGTTCGAATGCCAAAACTAATTTTACCATAATCCTTATGACCAGGATCGGGCTTGGACACACCAACTCACCAGTACATGAACAGATCCCTCCCCAACATTTGTTCTCTTTGCAACCATCATCACTTAGACGTTAGACACATCCTAGTTAACTGTCCTTCCCTTTCCCTTCATGGAACAGCTGCCTTTCAAACAATCAACCCAATAACCCAACGAATTCTTAAAATAAAAACTATATTTTTCTCTCACTGTGTGTAAACCATTGTCACCCTAGACGAGCGGAAGGACTTAGCTGCTAATGCTCCTAGTTCTTGGCTACCTTATAGTTTTATACTTTAAGTTAGCATTAAATAAATAAATGTTAGATTACACATAGTCCAACATGCTTAAGTTTACGCAGTGAAGAAAACCCAATTAAACTGTGATTCCTTTAGTAGACCTGTTACAGATTACTATTATCAGAAATAAATAAATCATGTTTAAGCCTTAGTAATATAATGGGACTATATGAGTTTTAGAGTTTAATGCTACTAGCCTACTACTAGTTTCTTGTGTGCCACATTAACGCTCTTACCAGTCAGCCACACGGTGCATCCTCGGAATCCTCGGCAGAGTCCCAGATTCTTGCCGCGCGTCTCCCTGGTGACATGGTGCTTCTGCTCGGTCACATTCGTCGCCACCTGTAGGCACTGCAAACAGAAATGTAATCGTGTTTAGCTTTCGAAATTAACATAAATTAATATTCATGTCAAGTTGGGTTGGCGATGGACTCCGCCTCGGGCCCGTTCTTTTCAGATTGTTAGCCACGGCGGCCACAAAAGCCAAACTCAAAGAGGGTGAAGCCGAATCAGAATCCAGTGCCAGAGGCAAGTCATCATCGAAATACTTCGCTTTGACCCCGGGGCGTTATTCGTGTTGAGCACCAACGTTCAGTTTGTTGACCTTCCGCGGGAACCCGAGTGTGCAGAATCGCGAATGGAGTTGTGCGATATGGGTATGCTCAGGGGTATTGGGCTGGGATCTATCGTGGTAGTCTCTTCATTTGTCCAACACATTACTTTGCACTCAGCTCCAAGTGTTGTATAAACTTTTCCGTTCACTTGAATTCCGAATTCATATCCCCAAACGAAATACCCTATGACTTTACATTTACTTCTTCCAAATATACTTATTTTAACTTGTGTTTAGAAGTAACCTTAAATGCATTGCTAATTAGCAATTAGCAATAGTTTACGGTTTGCATAGCTATCTTATCAGTTCAGACTTTTTTGCAGATGGTTGGAAGTGGGTCACTGTGCTAGATTGTCATTTAGGTGTTTTACTTTACCCTTGCTGATCTCACGTCTCTAAAAGCCACTATTTGCATTTTTACGCTTAGTGAACCAGATAATTAAGATTTCAGTGTTTAGTGGCACTCTGTTCTAGTCTTACCCTTCTTTTAATATGGGGATAAAATCCAATAGGCGGATTCGGCATTATTAGTATATTTTATTTCGCTCTCAAATTCAATCTCTTTTTAAAAGTTCAATTATTTTACATTGAGCACTGATAGCGATACGGATTCGACTCAGATTGCGTTGAAAACGAGCTCACGATGGATGGATTTCGTCATAGGCACGCGACGAGCGTCGAAAGCGGACTGAAAGTTTTCAATAATATTTATGGTATTATATGGGGCGCTCTGCCTCCAAAAGATCCGGAGAATGGAGCCTAAAGAGAGTGTGCGACGCAGAGAGTTGCCCATGAGTATATCGTATTCCATCTCGCCCTGATCTCTCGATCGGCGATCCACGCACGCAACATTTAGATTCTCCGGTCCCAGTTCCATATGGAGAAAATGTTTGCACAGTCTGTCCACCGCTTGTTTGCTTACTAGTCCCATTCTTTCTTGGCCTGCTCCGCCCTTTTTGATCTGCTGCTGCCTAAAAACCATAAACTCCCTTGCTTCTGGGCTCTAATGTAGCAAAAGGTTAAATGGAGCGGAAATGGAACTAACCCATAAAAGCTGGAGACTGATCGAAGCCCTATCCCTATGAAAAAAGGTACTGGGTTAATTGTAAAAGTGATCCTGGTCTACAGCAACTGAAGCACATCTCCATACTTGATTTTTCAGAAATATTTGCCAATAGTATTTAGAAAAAGCAAATACAGGTATATGCCTATCTGCAAACTTTTGTTTATCTAATAAAAAAAACACTTCGTAGCCACCAGATTAAACAAACAGACCTCTCCAACTCACGATACCATCTAAAGATGCATCATGCGAATGGAACTTACCGCATCTTCAGGCTTTTCCACACTCGGAAGGCAGAATCTTTTGGGGGAATCAGCACAGCCAGAGCTGTTGTTATTACTAGTATAGTGGCCAAGTGAATTGGCACATCGGGTAAACATTTTCCAACAAAAACGAAGCGAACTCTGGGCAGGTGAAAAGAAAGCGGGAGTCGGACAATGTGCGCTCTTTGATACTTAAACAAGTGAGAGCTCCGCAGTTGAAAAACCAAGCTAACCAACCAGTCAACCGCTGAAACGATGAACTTTCTCGCCGAAGCTCCAAACTGCAACTAAAATTCCACAGACTGCAACCAAACTTGGTAGAGATCCGCTGGGTGGAGCAGTGCGATATCCACTGGCGGTCCACATCGGAACTCGTTTATGGAGGTGCCTAGCAGATAAACTCGAATTTGCTTTGTTTTCATTGCAGACAAACAGTCGTTTAAACAGCTAAGTAAACAAACCAATATAAATATGAATATAACTTTTTGGGGAATAGTTAAAATTAAAAATAACTTGTGCAAGAGAGTTTAGACTCCTGGAAAGTTTGTTAGTTTGTTTAGTTATTCTTATATAGCTGTCTATTGTGCTAATAATGCACTGGATGTTGAAAACAAATTACATTTTGCACTACCCATTCCTTTTTTCTGTATTCAAATTGTTTAAGTCATTCAATTAGGTAATCACTTTTAACGACTAAAGTAGTATCCATAAAACTACCACGTAATGCAATAACACATAAAAGCAATAACCATTAAGTCCAAATGTTGCTATATGGAAATCAAATTACTGGCCGAAAAAAGCTTAGAAAGTAAGCTGCGCACAATAAACAATGAAAACACAAAAATAAAAAAACATAATTGTATCTTAGCTTTATTAAACCAAAAAACATAACTAAATATAAATTTAGGTGTTTTCTCAAAGAAGTTAAAAGAAATTAATTTGGTTCCTATACAACTTTAAACATTAATGAAGATTACAAATTTTGGTAATTTATTTATTTAAGAAAATGTGAGTAATACGTTAAATAACATGTCACAAAAGAAGACTCAGCAGTAAGTTATCACTGTGTTCATTGTTGACCAGGAGTTCAACTACTTTTGGCCAAATCCGAATCCGAAACGGCCCATTCGAGTTGATGCCCCAACTTGAAACCTTTGCTGCGCTGCCACTACTTTGGTTGGCTCGCAAGACTTTCTTTCTAATTTGAACCTGTTTTTAGCAATAACATTTGCTGTGGTAACCAGTTGTTATCAAGGAAATAGTTGCCAGTTGCAAAAGCCATTCATTATTTAACCTGATGCAAAGATTATTTGTAATTGAAAGTATCAAATAAATGAACATATTCCAGCATTAAAAATTATTGCTATTAATCAGACTGCTTGAAATAGTGAAATGCAAGGCCTGCGGTTTTACTTGCAAGTGTAGAAAATATTTCTGCTGAATCAACATTACTCGCCACATCAATTTATAACTTTCTATACATTGTAGTATAATTTAAAAAATAATGCTGAAAACAATCTTATCAACTGCAAGCATACATTGCAAAGCTTGCGCACCTAATGCTTTTTGGTAGTAAAGTGTGAATTTAAAATTGGAATAAACGGCATTCCCATAGCGTAAGATAAGATTAGGCCGGAATTCTGATGTTACGTGTCTGCTGGCCCATATGGAGAGCATAAAAACCGGAAGAGGGAAGAGAGATCTGGGGATCTGTAGGCACAAATGTATATTCAAACATCCAAGGCTGATCAAATAGATTGATAAATTAAGACATATTCCACATCTGGCCACTTGTTTAAATAGAGCTAGAAAATCGGCTTTGCTCGAAGTTTTTGGGCACAGGGCCACATATGTACATATTTAGTACTCACCGTCTTCTGACGCTTTTTACTGCTCTCCGGAACTTCGCTCATTTCTCGAGGGGAACTCTACAATGCTGTTCTTCTGACCCACCAAAGCGGCACCTCTTCCTGCCAAGCAATTCCAAACAAAACTGCGAAAAGTAGCACTTCGAATCGCTAATCGGTGCAATCGATGAATGAAGTGTGGCACGGTTGCAGTTTTCGGGTGGCTTTCCGTTTTCTGAATAGGTGTATCAATCGCGGCAGCAGGACTATTGCACTAAATAGCTTTAAGGCTAGTTATATCTTGAACAAACGTTTAAATTTGGGAAACGAGAAATGTATTATTACTAATTCACATGCACACAAAGCCCCCACGCACACCAACGCACCCATCAGCGCCAGCTGATTAGAGGTGGCCCAAGTATGCGATGGTTTAACGATAGCGCACGGCAAAAAATATTAAATCTGTGTAAGATAAGATTGTTTTAGCTCAACTATCGGATAATTGTAGCAAAAATTCAAATTATAAATTAAAATAATGTCGGTACCCGTTCCCTTTTTATAGAATGAAACTTTATGTAAAGCAGAAAAAAAAGTGTAAAATATGTAAATACATACATGCCTTTTTGTCTTTTGAATTTCGCGGCTATGTAAGCGCTACAGAGCTCGTATCTGGCAATACTATACATAATTTGAAACGCTATGCATGATTAGTTTGGATATTGCGTTCAACAGTTATCGACGACAACATGGAGTTCACTAACGCCGAAATTCGCGCTATTTTAAACTTTTCCTTCGTTCAAGGCAAATCCGCTAGAGAAACGTTCCGTGAGATTAATGATGTTTTGGGTGATGGTACTCTATCACTTCGAGCCACGGAGGAACGGTTTCGACGATTCAGAGCCGGTGAAAAAGACACCATGGATAAGCCAGCCGGCGGAAGACCTGTGACGACAAATACCGATCCAATCGTGGAATACATCGAGTTAGATCGGCATGTGGCATCTCGTGACATCGCCCAGGAGATGGGAGTTAGTCACCAAACCATTTTAAACCATCTGCAGAAGGCTGGATACAAAAAAAAGCTTGATGTTTGGGTGCCGCATGATTTGACGCAAAAAAACCTTCTGGACCGAATCAACGCCTGCGATATGCTGCTGAAACGGAACGAACTCGACCCGTTCTTGAAGCGGATGGTGACTGGCGACGAAAAATGGATCACATACGACAATATCAAGCGAAAACGATCGTGGTCGAAGGCCGGTGAATCGTCACAAACAGTGGCCAAGCCGGGATTGACGGCCAGCAAGGTTTTGCTGTGTGTTTGGTGGGATTGGAAGGGAATCATCCACTATGAGCTGCTCCCATATGGCCAGACGCCTAATTCTACCATCTACTGCGAACAATTGGACCGCTTGAAGCAGGCGATCGACCAGAAGCGTCCAGAATTGGCCAACAGGGAGGGTGTAGTGTTCCACCAGGACAACGCCAGACCATACACTTCGTTGATGACTCGTCAGAAGCTACGGGAGCTCGGATGGGAGGTTTTATCGCATCCACCATATAGTCCGGACATAGCGCCAAGTGATTACCACCTGTTCCTGTCCATGGCGAATGCCCTTGGTGGTGTAAAGTTGAACTCAAAAGGGGCTTGTGAAAAGTGGCTGTCCGAGTTCTTCGCAAATAAGGAGGGGGACTTCTACGAGGAGGGTATTATGAAGTTGCCGTCTAGATGGAAACAGATTATCGAACAAAACGGCGCATATTTGAACTAAATCCGATCACTGTAACACTTTTTATAAAGTATTCAAAGTACAAAGTAAAGTATTCAAAACAACCTATTATAACAAGAATATCAAAGGATTTATATTTCATTTTAGTTTTTATAATTATTATTGTAGCTATTTTAAACTTTTGTAATATTTTGATAAAACAATGCAGTTTGTTTTGAATGTACGTTTATTGCAAATACATCTGATAAATAAATGATTAGGAATTGGCTTACGACTAAGAAGTGTCTTCGATCTAGTACGGTGGAGGTTGATACTGCTGCTGGCCCATCATGTTCTGCCGCTGGAGCTGAGCCACCAGGTTCGGCGTTTGTTGCTGGTTCATGCTCTGCTGCTGCGGCACCATTCCGCCTCCGCCGCCACCACCAACGGCACCACCTGCCTGCTGTGGCCCGGCTCCCATTCCTCCGCCTGCCCCACCACCCATGCCCTGCATCTGCATCATTTGCTGGTGCCTCAGCTGCTGTTGCTGCTGCTGCTGGAACTGTTGCTGGGTGTTCAGGACGCCGGGTTTGCCGCCTCCCGCCGATTGCTGACGGGCGTACGGAGGCACCTGGCCGACGACGCCACCCGGCACCGGACCCATCATGTTGGACATGGTTACGTTGGGCGCTTGGTTCATGTACTGGTTCCGGTTGCCGGCCATCATTCCACCGGGAACAACGCGCTGCTGCTGCTGTTGTTGCTGCTGCTGGGCAACCGCGGCGGCCGCCATAAAGTCGGGATTGTTTCGATTCGCCTGCTGCATCTGCGGATTGAAGTTGCTCATCATGTTGGCCTGCTGCTGTTGCTGTTGATTGGGCGCCATGCCCACTCCGACGCCTGCTCCACCGCCCTGTTGCTGCATACCCTGCTGTTGCTGCTGCTGGTACTGATTCTGGAAGTTCTGGAACTGCACCTGCTGTTGTGGCTGTTGCTGTGGCTGCTGCTGCATCATGCCTTGCTGAGGCATGCCTCCCATGCCCATGTTGGGATTGTTCCCGGCGCCGCCAACACCGACGCCTACACCAACGCCCACACCGTTGCCTCCCTGAGCCCCACCGCTCTGCATCATTTGGTTGGCATTCGCGTTGACCATGCCCACCATATTCTGTGGGATCTGTTGCTGCATCATGGGATTCTGTGGCATGCCTTGACCTCCCATGTTCATCTGATTCATCTGGTTGGGCGCCATGCCTGGTCGCATGTTGCCGCCGCGCATAAACTGCTGCTGCTGCTGCTGGTTGGGATTCATCTGCTGCTGCTGGGCGTTCTGCTGCTGCTGTTGCATGGCGTTGAAAGCAGCTACAGACTGAGGATTTTGCTGGGGATTCATTTGTTGTTGCCGCATTTGGTTGGGGTTTATCTGCTGCTGAGGACCGGGCTGTTGTTGCGAAGGCTGTGGTTGCTGCTGCATCGGATTGAAACCGCCCCCTGGACCCTGTTGCGCTTGCTGCTGCTGGAATGGTTGACGCTGACGAAGCATCTGTGATAGCGCCTGCTTGGAGTTGGCGTTCAAGGACGGACGCTCGATGCGATTTGCTGAAATGGTATGTGACTAGGATTACAATCTTGAACCATAGAAAATATCAAACATTCGACTTACACTGCATGTTCTGCTGATGCGGAGCGTATTGGTTGTGGTATGGTTGTGGCGGCTGCTGCTGCTGCGGCGCATTGTGCCACTGTTGCTGCTGGCCAGGCATACCCTGCGGTCCGGCTCCACCGCCTCCTGGTCCCTGCTGCATGAAGTTCATCTGGGGATTTTGCTGCCCGTTGCCACCGCCCACATTCAGCTGCTGCTGCAGCGGATTGTTGCCCATTTGCTGCATCTGCTGCTGCTGTTGCAACATGGCGTTCTGCTGCATCATGTTGTTCGGATTGGGTGCAAACTGCTGCATGTTCATCTGTGGAAAAGATGTTATGTTACATTTTAAAGTCGAGGGTAATAGAAGAATGGTTTCGCACCGAAAAAGGTTAAGAAAATCTGGATAACAATTTTACAACTTTCGAATTTTTCTGCCATCATGTTGCTATTAGTGGCTTGCTTTGATTCCTTCATAAGGCAAAGCTAGTGATATGATTGAATTTAATAATTTATGAACGATTGAATTTAAAAGCTCAACAACTCGACTATTTACAAAAGCAAATTTCTTTTACCGGCATATTCATGGGCATCTGGCTCATTTGGTTGGGCTGCATCTGCTGCTGTTGCATGTGCTGCTGTTGCTGTTGCTGCTGTTGCATCTGCTGTTGTTGCACATTCTGCGGCTGTTGAGGCTGAGGTGCCAGCTGAGGCTGCTGTTGCTGAGTATTAACGACGGGTGGCGTTTTCGGGTTCTTAGGCTTGCGTTTCCGCGTGGTCGTTCCCTTGCCGCGACCTCTTCCAGTGCCGCCCACGACAGCGCTTGGCGACTGATCCACCGACGAAGGCGTATCCGCCTTCATTTCATCCTTCTACGAAATAGAAACAATGCATTTAGAAAGCGGCAAAGCGAGATCCAAATTCAAAATCGACTTACTATGCAAATTTTCTCAGGAACAGGCTCGATGTCTTCGGGAGGCAGTGGCAACGGCTCATAGTAGTAACTACTGGGCTTGACCAGACTGTGCGTGTGATACTTCAGGTTGCGGTGAGCTTCTTCGTAAGTGAGGGGCTTCCGCTCCAGCTTAACTGCACCGAACCACACCCAGGACAGAGGAGCCGGGTTCTTGTGACCCTCAAGGATGTCCCACACGCTGATGCGCTGTTTGTCCGAAATGCGAAGTTGCTTTTTGTCTATATCGCAGATCTTGTTGCCCTTGGTGTCCATTCCAGAGTGTTCGCAGGCAATCACCTAAGAAAAAAAATACCATTTAGTTTTAAAGCTCATCTAGTTTAAGATTAGCTACCCACCTCAGTGGGCTGCTTGTAAATTGGTAGAAGCTGCCGAATAACCCGAATGGAGGCGTTGTTCTTCTCTCCAATTTCCTTCTTTAGCTTCTTCATCAGGTTCATATAGTGCCTCTCTTCATCAGAGACCAGCGTTGAATGCACCAATGTGGCCAACATGTCCACCACGGTGGTGAACAGCTCCCGGTTGCAGCTGAGGTCCACTACGCCCTGGCAAACCAATTGAGCCAAAAGAATGGCCCAGTCGGTGGTGGGAGTACTGTTCTTTTGGATAGCCTCGAACATGCCGCCCACCAGCGAAAAGCGCAACTGAAGGGCATCAAGGATCTCTTCGCGTGCCTGCGGCTCATCAACACCACCGATTGTATCCAGCTTAAAGGTGTCATATTAATATTAGGTTTAACTTTGAAGATTGAGAGATTTGATTGCGACTCACCTCAGCAAAGGACTGCAGACATTGTGATAACTGGGCATAGAGGGAGACCAGTAAGTTTTCTTTGTACTCGTCCTGGCCTTTCAGGCAAGTTAGGATGAGACCCAGGAAAGGCTGGTAATTAAGCGGCATCTTCTTGTTGCGTGCGGGCACGCCGCCCATACCATAGCTATTGCTACTGTGGCAGCTGTTGCTCTTTTCGCGCTCATCACCACTGCCCGAGCTATTGCAATCGGACTTCGACACCTTGGAGAAATAGTTCATACTCTCGAGAACCTGACCAGCCACTCGAAGAATCCTGCCCTGCACTGCTGGTGTTAACTTAGCGATGAGTGGGGCCACTAGCCAGGTGGACGGTTTGGGCT